GTATTGATTAATCAATACTATTATTGAAAAAGGTTTTCAGTATATCGATATTGAAATAATTACATGAGGAATGAGGAGTATTTATACAAGAAAAAATAGCTAAGCATGACTCAGCTATGACTCACCAAACCTAATCACAATCATAAGAATGACTCAGCTATGACTCACTAAACCTAATCACAATTAATTTTAATTAATTACAATTAATCCTAACTAATAGGAAATAAAAAACAATCAATCCTAATTAATCTTAATTATTCCTAATAAATAAAAACGGAAAAATATTTGAATTTGAATTCTGATTTTCTACACTCCCCCTCAAGTTGGGAGGTAAATGTTGATCATTCCCAACTTGCCAATCAAGTCTTCAAAGGCTGGCCGGTGTAGGCCCTTAGTGAGAATATCTGCAATCTGCTCTTTGGTAGGAATATACACCATACATACACTTCCATCATCTATTTTTTCTTTGATAAAGTGGCGATCAACCTCCACATGTTTTGTTCTGTCATGGTGAACTGGATTTTGAGCAATACTGACAGCAGCCTTATTATCACAATACACTCTGACAGGTGGGGAAAAAGAGATCTTCAATTCCTCAAGGAGTCTTCTTAACCAAATTCCTTCACAAATACCATGGGCTAGAGCCCGAAATTCTGCTTCTGCACTGCTCCGGGCAAATTCTGTTTGTTTCTTACTTCTCCAGGTCACAAGATTTCTCCAAATATAGGTGCAATATCCTGAAGTGGATCTTCGGTCCAATGCAGAGCCAGCCCAATCTGCATCTGTATATATTTCAATCATCCTCTTGTGTCCCCTTTTAAAGAACAATCCTCGACCAGGGGTGTTTTTGATGTACTTCAGAATTCTACAAACTGCACTTAGGTGTTTTTCCTTAGGAGAATGCATGAATTGACTAACCATGCTAACTGCAAATGCAATATCAGGCCGAGTGTGAGATAAGTAGATCAACTTCCCCACCAATCTCTGATACTGCTCATTGTCAACTTCTTTCCCATCTTCGATTCCCAATTTAATATTGGGTTCAACTGGAGTCTCTGCTGGCTTGCACCCAAGCATTCCTGTTTCTTGTAACAGGTCTAGAATATATTTCTTCTGAGTTAAAGAAATTCCTGCCTTACTTCGAGCAACTTCCATGCCTAGGAAATATTTGAGAGATCCAAGATCCTTCAGTTCAAACTGATTAGCTAAACATTTCTTCAAAGAGCTTATCTCCTCACAATCATTACCTGTGACAATTATGTCATCAACATAAACAATGAGAATAGCAATTTTACCACCATTAGAGTGTTTTAAAAATAAAGTGTGATCAGTCTGAGCTTGGAGGAATCCTCTTCCCTTAACAGCTTGAGTAAACTTCTCAAACCACTCTGTAGGAGATTGTTTAAGACCATAGAGAGACTTTTTCAACTTGCATACTGAATCGTCTCCTTTTTCAAAACCAGGTGGTGGATCCATATAAACTTCTTCATGTAGATCACCATCCAAGAAAGCATTCTTTACATCTAATTGTTGCAAGGGCCAACCAAGATTTGCAGCAAGTGATAAAAGAACTCGGATAGTATTAAGCTTGGCAACAGGGGCAAATGTCTCTTGATAGTCTATCCCATGAGTTTGAGTGAATCCCTTAGCAACCAGTCTGGCCTTATACTTGTTGATGCTATTATCTGCATTAAACTTTATTGTGAACACCCACTTGCAACCTACTGTTTTCTTTCCTCTGGGTAATGCTACAGACTCCCAAGTTCCATTTTTGTTGAGTGCATCCATTTCTTCAAAGACTGCATTCCTCCATTTTGGATCATCAAGTGCTTCTTGGATATTTTTTGGTATTTTTGTACTGTCTAACATAGTGTTGAAAGCACGAAAACCTGGGGACAACTTTTCATATGTGATATGATGAGAAATAGGATGAGCAGTACAAGATCTAGTACCTTTTCGGAGAGCAATAGGCACATCTAGATTGGCTGTATCAGTGTTGCTGGAACTAAGACTCGAGTCAGAATCCTGGCAGTCTAGAGGCTCCTGAGGTGATTCTCGCCTGCTGTAAAACTTTCCCCATTTCCCGGGAGGATCTCCATTATCTGACACATTAACTCCCCCTGTCTTTTGCATAATGACTCCCCCTGTCTCCAACGGCAAAGGCAAAACAACAGAATCATTTGGTTTCCAAGACTTATTTTCATCAACTCCAATAGACTCCCCCTGAAGAGAAGTCGAAGGAAAAAAAGATTGTCTCTCATCAGATGTGACATCCATAGAAACAAAGACCTTACGAAGTGAAGATGAGTAACACTTGTAGCCCTTTTGGTTAGGAGGATATCCTATGAAGACACATTTAATGGACTTAGGATCGATCTTGGACCTTTGATGGGGAGGAACATGTACAAAAGCCACACAGCCAAACAACTTGGAGGAAGGGAAGAATGAGCCCGGAAAGAAGGAAATGTGTGGGTAAGACAAGATAAAGGAGATTGAAAATTTAGGACACGAGAAGGCATCCGATTGATGAGGTATGCTGCAGTCAAGACAGCTTCCCCCCACAAATATTTAGGGACATGCATGGTAAACATAAGAGCTCGAGCAACTTCAAGGAGATGTCTATTTTTTCTTTCAGCCACCCCATTTTGTTGAGGGGTGTTAGGACAAGAACTTTGATGAAGAATACCACGCTGGCTGAGATAGTTTCCAAAAACAGAATTAAAATATTTAGTACCATTGTCAGTTCGAAGAATTTGGATAGAGGTCTGGAACTAAGTTTGAACCATAGCATGAAGTTTTTAAAAATGGATGCAGCGTCAGACTTATCCTTTAGAAGGTATACCCAACATACCCTAGAGTGATCATCTATAAAAGTTATAAACCAACGAGCACCAGAGATATTTTTTTCACGGGCTGGACCCCATATATCACTATGAATCAAGGTAAATGGAGAAGAATCATGATGGACTCTAGGAGGATAAGAAACACGAGAATGTTTTGCAAGCTGACAAATATCACAAGAAAAAGAACTGGGATTTTTATTGATAAATAAGCTTGGGAACAACTTCTGAAGATAAATGAAATTTGGGTGTCCTAACCGACGATGCCACAACAAAACATCATTACAATCATCAGACAAACATACCGAGTGGTTCACAAATTTTTTTCCTTCACAAGAATCTTTTTCTAAATAATAAAGTCCTTCTTCCTCTCTAGCACTGCCAATCATCAGCCCCGAGTCCTGTTCCTGGAAAACACAAGCATTGACAGAAAACTTGGCAACACAATGTAACTCAGACGTAAGTTTGCTGATAGAGATAAGGTTACAAGTAAGAGAGGGAACATGAAGAACTGAGTTCAAAGTAATGTGTTCAGAAAGTTTAATGGATCCTTTTCCAGCAATAGTAGAGAAGCTGCCATCTGCTGTTCTTATTCGTGATTGTTGATAGTAAGGGGTATAAGAACAAAATAAGGTTGCATTACCTGTCATATGATCTGAAGCCCCTGAATCAAGAATCCATCGACTACTATTATCAACATGGAACGCTATACCTTGTTGAGCAACATTGTTGGATGGAAATTTACTTTCAATCAACATGGCTGCGTGTGGTAACGCGTAGGGCGGACGCTCCGTCCTTGCTCTAGCGCGTGGGGGCGCGTGGCTCAGCAGAATCCGATGCTCCTTCTTGAAACTTGTAGATCGGCTCCTTCTGTTTCGAATGGTGCGGATCTCGGTCGGAAATGTCGCCGGAAAAATTTTTCGACGGCTGCTGACGGCGGTGGAAAGCTGGGATTTTGCCTTCTACAGTGATTGGTAGCCTTACTTTGCTCTTGGGACTTTGTAGGAAGGGAAAATAGCCTTAATAATGGTTGAAGGTTGAGTTTTCCGGTGTTGTGCCGCCGGTTTGAAGGTGGTTGTGATGGCTGAGTTTTCTCAGGACCAACCTGCTCTGATACCATATTGAAAAAGGTTTTCAGTATATCGATATTGAAATAATTACATGAGGAATGAGGAGTATTTATACAAGAAAAAATAGCTAAGCATGACTCAACTATGACTCACCAAACCTAATCACAATCATAAGAATAACTCAGCTATGACTCACTAAACCTAATCACAATTAATTCTAATTAATTACAATTAATCCTAACTAATAGGAAATAAAAAACAATCAATCCTAATTAATCTTAATTATTCCTAATAAATAAAAACGGAAAAATATTTGAATTTGAATTCTGAATTTCTACAACTATGATAGGATTACAAATTGTCCCTATTCCAGGTGCATTAAAGTGTAAAAGCTGGAATCATTTTCAGTAACGATGTCTTAAATTTACATATTAAAAAGGAGTTTACTTGTGGAAGTCAAAAAGTCATGTCTGAATGAAAAGGAATTAGTGTGAAAATACATTTTGAGGCAATGAAAATAGGAAAGAATATGAAGTCAACGAAAAGAAATGGGGTGATCTGACATGGGCATATGTTCTTCAAGTTTGTGTGGCTAACAATATAAAAATAAAAAGGCTGATCAGTGATTTTGAGCACGCATGTGGGGCTTGAGCCCTCTACCACTGAAGAGAAAAAATGATTGAGAGTGGTTTTGCATGTGAAAGTTATCAGGTAGATAGAACACAGGTCTGGTATGCTACAGATTTTAGGTGTGACAATGTGAAGTGAGATTTGGGCATATTGGGATTTGGGTTAGTGTGAGATTTTTGAGAAGTTGATTGATTACTATTTGTGGAGCTGTAGATGTAGGCAACTTAGCAAACCAAGCTGGATTTCTTGAATGTTTATTTTTTGTTAGTGTTTTTCTTCGGTTTTATTTGATTTTCTGAAGAGGGTGAGCTTGGAGCAGTGAAAAAGCTGCTCTTTGTGACTGAAAAATCATGGGTTTGAATTCGGGATTTAATGGGTAATGGTTTTTTGTATTTGATTTTCTGCTTTGTGAGGAAATTTCCCCAATATTATGATAAAAAAAATTAAAAAAAAATCATACCAGCAATAATTTCAATAGCACTAAATGCTGCCACTTGCCCTCCTGCCAAAGCATCTTCCAGGATGAGATCAATAGGAAGCCAGTGTGAAGACCAACTATCACCAAAAGATTGACAAGCAAAAGATATCTGAGGACCAGCAGGTATGACTACATTAGACTCCAGCTTAGATTTTGTTTTGCATTCATGGGATAAAACCTCTTGAACATTTTCTGTCAAAAGCAAAAGGGTCTCTGCAGTAATATGTTTCAGATTCCTCAAAACTGAAGAGTTTGATGCAAACAGCTGCATTTGGTGAATGAAAAATCCCCAATGTGATGGCCTACAGAGATAACTTTCCTTCAATGAAGGTTCCAAAATTTTAATTGAGATTCAGTCAAATGAGTATTTAGACTGTTCACCTAGGCGATCCAAAGTGTGTCAGAATTAAGTTCTTACATGTTCCGATGAACTAAGGAAAGGATCCTTGAAGTCATCTTGTTTTGCAAAAATTCTGCAATAATCTCGATAGCCATTGCTGTATTTTCCCTCTGCAACCCCTCCTTCTGCTCAGTTTTATTTTCTCTGAAGCAGTCAGGTCCATCAATATTCATATCATGTGACCTGCTTAGCCATCTAGGCTTATTCTCTGGAGCGTGATTTAGTAACCCTTCATCATCTAATAATGCTTCGAGTAATTGCCATACAGCTGAAAAGACAAATTCAACAAGAATAACTCCTGGCTCACACACCTTTAGGCTGTATACCTGGGAAAGCTGAAGAACACCATCAATAGATTTCATAATCCTGTGATACCATTGGTATGAAACGTCATTATTAGTATTAAGAAATACACAACGAACCTTCCCCCATCCCCTGGAAAAAGGAGACAAAGAAAAATGCACTCTAAAAATTGGAATGAAACCATTAGAGCAGATTTATGTTCTCTATATTAAAAAAAAAAAATGTTCCTGTTAGAGAAGTAGGATATAAAACAATTAATGTGACCTTTACCTAAAGGTTTAAACTTTTGAGTTGAATTAGTGCTTTACAATCTCTGTAACAAAGTCACGAGTTCAATCCTCACTATCTCCTATTTTATCAATTATAATTCAATATTGTGAAGTTTCTTAATACAAGTAGGTGGACCTGTGCATTGTCTACCCTTCAAGCCCAATGAACTCTTGTGTAAGGGGGCATAGTAGAGAAGTACGATACAAAACCATTAATGTGACTTTCTCCTAACAGTTTAAGCTTTTGGATTGAATAGACAATTTACTGTTCCTTTAGATTTATAGTACCTTTAGGTTGCCACAAGCACAGGATTTAATTACAAGCATCGACGCAAGCAATTGTCAACAAGTTAACAAGTCTGCAGTAAAAGATTATAATATAAATATCTCACAGAAAACGACAAAATGCAGTCTGAGGACATAACACTGAAATCTGAAGAAAAGCCAAACCTACTTTTGCCAACAATGCACTAGATGCATTTTTTGCATATACCCTTTAGATATTTCCCAAACATCCATATCCATTATCTATCTATATAGAAAACAAATACCACTCAATCTAAATATAATATATCAAGCTCTAAAATCTTATCCCATTTCATGAGGTGAGTGGCTTGAGCCTTCGAAGGAAGGACAAACACTATGTTTAAAACAGCAACATCAACATGTAGCTTCAGGTTGACACTCGACAACATAAAGCCTACATAACAAGGCTTTCTACCACGGTAAAAAGCTTACGAGATTTACTTCATTTCTTTTAACCAAATAGCTTACTTTAGCACAATGGAGATGTTAAATAAAGTGTAATTAAGGAAATAGATCGCATATTTATCTGATTGTATGTTGTGTAATTAATTAGGTATTAGAAATTATTTGTATTTTCCTTGTTATTAGTAAGTGTAAATCCTATATATAAATGAATGTGCCATGAGGAATTCTCGAGCCATTCACAAAAATCTTTGTATCTAAACCTAGTTCATGACATGGTATCACAAGCTCTATGACTAAGTGATCTAGAGTTCGATCCTTGCCACCCTCATCCTTTTAATAAATATTGTGAAATTTCTTAGCACAGGGTAGGTGGGCATGTACATTGTCAATCATTCAAGTTGAAAGGGCTATTGCATGAGGAAGTGTATTACAAATATAATATAAAAACCATTCAAGTGTCTTCACCCAACAATTTAAGCTTTGGGGAGAGTCAGTAGCATGACAGTAGAAACAAGACATTCATTACAAAGAAACAACTTCCTTTCTAGACTTGCAAATAGTTCAAACCTAAACATACTCAATTAAGTATAAATAATATAGTAAAAATATTACGGAATTTACCATGACATGAAGACTCAATACAACATCAGTTGCTAGAATCACTGTAATTGCATCCGTTGGATTTGTTTGATTAGAATTGAACACCACTAATCATTAGTTATCTTATGATATGGTACTTACACGAAAAAATGATATGGTTCATATTCCAACCTAAATAATTCTTATTTCAAGTCCTAACCTTAATATTAAGTCAAATCGTCCTGCGTATTAGTTCAAACCTAGTGTTTACTTTACAAGATATATACATAAGGTGAAATTAGTGTTTTCCTATAATACACAGTCTCATATATTGAAGAATATGGAATATTATTCATAATTTAGATGATACACAAATGGGTTAGATATATAAACCAACTATCTTATCAGAAAAGGAAAGAAACTAGAGTCAAATTTGATACTTCTCTAAATTCTATGAAGGATAAATGACAGTAACAAGAACAAGAAACAAAGAAATGGAGAAATGAAGAAATGATTTAAGAGAACTGTGATTTTATTGCTAGGATAAAAAGATACAAGAGGAATCTTCCTCTTACAAGGGAACCAATATCCCTTACACTGATCTAGTATAAGTTACAATAATTCCCACCAAAAGACCCCTACTTAACCGTACATAACTCATATAAATAATCATAACTTCCTTACGTAAAATAACTAAGTGAATAACTACCCAGTCTCCTATCTTTACTGCAAAGACAGTGACAATTATTCCAATCATTCTAATTATTCCCAACTACAAAGACATTTGTAGTTATTCTAATCATTTCTTGGTAACTATCCCTTATCTGTATTCCTTCTGTAATACATTTTCCAAACTCGTTTATTCCCTCCATTTGCAATACCAGCCTTATCAATATCACCCTCCATTGAAACAACATTGTCTCAAGGTTGAATTCCGAAATTGATCTTGGATGGCAGAAACATCTTCCCAATAAGCTTCTTTTGGAGGCAAGTTCTGCCATTGAATCAACACTTATTGCATTGTGCTTCCTTGTTGTACCATGCTGCGTTTTCCTAGTACCTGCACTGGAAATAATTAAGGCAATTCCACTGGAAGTTCACCTAGAATATGCTCCTCAACCGGATGCTGCTCAATTGCCTGCTTTAACTATGAAGCACGAAAAACAGGATGAATTTTAGAGGCCAAAGGTAACTGCAAGTCAAAAGCTACAACACCAATGTGCTTAAGGACCAAAAAAAAAAAACCATAATATTGAGTTCCTAGTTTGGGATTTAATGTCCAGCCACATATTGTTGCCGGTGAGGACAAATTTTCAAGTAGACCCAATCACCTACACTAATAATGGATGCTCTTCTATGAGTATTTGAGTTTCTTGTCATGTGATTTCATGCCCTTGTCAAATGAAATATGAGTTATCAGAGACCTTCATCTCGATTCATAAGATTGTGTGCTACAATTTCCAGCATGATCTATCTGGGAATATATTTGGAAAGTGAGGGTGGAGGTCACCATAGATCACTTCAAAAGGGGTGCATTGTGTTGCAGATTGAAAACTAGTATTGTACCAGTATTCAGCCCAAGGAAGAAACTCCCCCCACATCTTAGGTTGCTCGGAAAAAAACAACGGAGATTGGTTTCTAGGGTACAATTAAGAACCTCCGTCTGGCCATCTATTTCTGGATAATAAGTTGTACTGAGCTTCAAATTTGTTCCTAACAGTTTAAAATTTTCTCCCAAATGTTACTAATGAATCACGATCACATACAATTGATACCGAAATACTATGCAGTCGTATATTCTCTTTTACAAACAACTAGAAATGTGTCAAATCCTTTAAATTTTGGCAATCCCACAATAAAGTCCTTACTAAGCTCCTCCCAAATAGCATTGGGAATAGGCACAGGTTGTAATAAGCCTGCTGGTCAGGTTGCTTGATATGTGTTACGTTGATACATATGACACTGTGCTAAAAAGTTGTGACAACAGCCTTCATACCAATCCACGAAGTTGATTGGGCTAATCTTCTGAAAATACGATATATTCCAGAATGTCCTCCTAAAGGCAAATAGTGAAATTCTTGCAGGAGTTTAGGAGTACAAGTGGAAGTAGCTGAAATGACAGGCCTCCCTTTATAATATAACCTGATGTTTTCCAGTGTAGAGTAAGGGTGTGAATCTAAATTTCTATCCAAATCAGCAATCATTTTAGCAAGAAAATGACCAATGAGATGCACATCCTACCAAAACGGCCTAGAAATGACTTGCAACTTTTTCTCATTGTCCCTTCTACAAAGCGCATATGCAACTTTATTAGAAGCCCCCCATCTTATACTCAATCTCAAAATCATGTTGGTAATCCTTTGCTCCAGAATTCTCCAAAGCCTCAATTCGTACTTCAATGGTGTCCATTCTTGCATAGATTTGGCAGGTCAGACAAATTGATACGTCTCTAAATTCCATGAAAGATAAAATGACAGCAACAAGAAAAAGAAACAGAGAAAATGGAGAAACACAGAAAAGATTTAAGAAAACTAGGATAGAAAGATACAAGAAGATTCATCCTCTTACAAGGGAACCAATATCCCTTACATTAATCTAGTATTAGTTTCAAATAATTCCACCAAAGGACATTTGCTTAATCGTACATAACCCATATAAATAATAATAACTCCCTTATGTAAAATAACTATTTATTGAATAACAACCCAATCTCCTATCTTAACTGCAAAGATAATTACAATTATTCCGATCATTTTAACTAATCCCAATTGCGATATATTTGCAGTTATTTTAATTATTTCCTTCTGTAATATACTTTCCAAACTGGCTTGTTCCCTCCATTTGCAATATCAATCCCCCCATTTGTAGTACCAGTTATATCAAAGTCGTATAATTTGTGAAGATTCCTATTAGAATAGAAAATTAAATAAGCCTAATTCTAGGGATACAATTTGCTATAGAATATTTCCAAATAACTCAATGAACTCAGTTTTCCACACTCCCCATCAAGCTGGTAAATAGGTATTCTCCATTCCTAGCCTAGATACAATATTGTGAAAGACCAAAATGCTCAACCCTTAGGTAAGTAAATCAGCAAGTTGACCTCTTCAGTTTTTATTTCATCAAGTATCTGTCAACCTCAATATGCTTTGTTTGACCATGTTGTACCGGATTGTGGGCTATGCTGATAGCAGACTTGTCGCTATAAATTCTCATTGGTCCATCCCACTTGATCTTCAAATCTTCAAGGATGATCTTTAACCAAAATAGTTCAGTTCACACACATCTTGAGCTGTAACTTTGAATTCTGCCTCTGCACTAAATCACGCTACCACATTCTACTTTTCACTCCTCCAAGTCACAAGATCCCCCCAAAAAAGTGCAATATCCATTTGGTGACCCAACATAATCAGCATCAATGTCTGCATTAAGTACCACACCTCCATTCTCTTAAATTAAATGTATTTTCTTGGTATTCCCTTGAGGTATTGTAATGCTCACTGTGTTGCTTGCAAATGAACTTCTCTTGAGCTATGAATGAATTGGTTAATCACACTTACTGATCTATCCTATGTCCGGTAGTGTGTGTGATAAGTCTTTCCACTAGACAGTAATACATTTCTTTGTCTGCTACAAGATCTTCCCCTACTTATCCAAGTCTTATATTAGACTCCATAGAATTACTTGCTGGTTTGCATACTGTCTTGCCTGTTTCTTTGAGGAGATCTATAACATACTTCTGTTGAAAGATAGAAATGCCCTGCATAGAATGAGCAATCTCAATTCCATACTAGTAGTTCAACCTCCATAAGGCTTTAGTCTCAAACTCCTTAGCTAAACGTTGATTCAAAATATGTTTCTCCTGTGCATCATCTCTTGTTTCTATTATATCCTTGATACACAAAGAGTACCGTTACTCCCCCTAAAGGAGAATGTTTAACAAAACACGCATGATCCCTTTGGCTTTGTTTGTATCCCATAGTCAATATAGTTCTTGCAAACCATGCTCATTGTTATCGCTTGAGCTCATACAAGGCCCTTTTCAACCTCCACATAGTATTAGTTTCCCATATTATGGTGAAACCTCCATATAAATTTCTTTTTCTAGATTTTCATGGAAGAAAGCATTCTTGACATCAAATTGTTGTCAATCCCAACCATAATTAGTTGCTAATGCCAACAATATAAATGTGTTCATATTTGCCATTGGTGTGAAGGTCTCTTGGTAATTATTTCTATAAGTTTGGGTACACTTTTTGGCTACCAATCATGTCTTATACGGTTATACCTCTCTAGCAATCCATCTGCTCTGTACTACATTGTATACACCCATTTACAACTAGGGGTGTAAATTAGTCAGGCCAAGCCTGACGTTAGCCTAAATGGGCTAGACCTATGTAAAATATTTCAAATCTAGTTTGGCTCGTTAACCTGATATAAGTTGAATTATAAGCTTGGTCTGACTTGTTTTTAAAAAATAAAAGACTTGGCCGGGCCCTATCAAGCCTTCAAAAATAGCATATTTGCCTGTCCTATTTACACATTTATTTACAACCCACAAATTTGTTCCCCTAATGGTAACTCCACTAGCTCCAAGGTTTTATTCTTTTCTTCCTTTAAACCTTTTTATGGGATAATGTAAATTTTTTGGCTTCTCTGGCAGTTTTACTTACCAATACATTTTCAGGGGTTATCTTTTATAGATTTAGAGGGGGCTAAAGAGCTCCGGAGAGCTGGGTAGTTACAGGAGGATTTCTTATGCTCCTTCTTGTAAGTTTTTATTAACAAACTCTTCTTTTATGCACACACAAAAAAAAAAAGTTAAAATAGAAACAATATCCAAAATGCTAAAAATATTCAAGAGCTTATACAACAACATTCTTCTGCTACAAATTTAGTTGGATTTGGAGCTTACTTTTCATAGTTCGGAGAATTGATATGAGATTCAAGCATAAAGGCATTTCGCTTGAGAAGTTCCATATAGAGTCTGTAAGCCGCAGGATAGAGTTTTCTGCTTGGAACAACCCTGCAGTCATAAAAAAAACAGCGAACATAATTTAACCAGTAAAAATAATAATAATAATAAAGTAAATCAGCCAAACGAGATAGATGTCAGGCAAAGCCTCCATTAAAAGATGAAGAGGTTACAGAAGACAGCTACACAGAAGTTATAGTTTCCACCCTTTCATTTCCTTGTAAACTAAGACTAGTTAACCTTTTTTTCTTTCATCTTAACCATCTACCTCACTGAAAAACTACTCTAATTGCCAAAAATTGCATAAAGAATACAAAAATTGAACAAAACGAAGGTCATAGTATGAATTCATCCATGCAAGACTTCCATATAATAAAAAATGCACATTCAAGAATCAAGAAAAAAAAAAAAAAAAAAAAAAGTGATTCGAAATGCGTTATACACAGAGGAGCACCTTACAGGTAGACGATAAAACAGGGAAAAATAAGAATGAAAAAGAGGAAAGAAAGAAAGAAAGAAAGAAAGTGGAAAGGACCTGGTGGAGAGAAGTGCGATGAGGAGCAATGGAGGGATGAGGTTGAGAGAGGAAGCTGTATGGAGAAACTTCCAAGCGGCGGGGCTGTGGTTGTCCCAAAAGAAGTGAGCGACGAAGCGGTGAGCGAGTTCGACGGAAGGGAGAGTAACGCCGGGGGAGGAGTGAAGCTTCGTCGTCAGCTCCAAAGCCAACAGGTTAGGATCAGTGTTCGTCTCCAGAGCCTCCTTCGTTTGCCGCACGAGATCGTCCCACAAGCTCTGCTCATCGCAATCGGTGATTTGCGCGGGAACCGCCATGACCATGAAACAAGAGATTCACATTCACTGAACGAAAGAAATGAGAGAGTGAAAGGTTTCCTTTTTTTTTTTTGGTAAGCTGAGAGTGAATGGTTTCTATCAGTATCGCTGATTTGAGAGAGCAGAGCACAATGCATGGGATGGGATGCTTCACTATGGCATTTTTTTTTTTTTTTTGGTATATAATATAATATTAATAATAAGTATTCTATTATGGATTTTTTTAATTTTTAATTTAAAAATAGTTTGATGTTGATGTTATATTATAATTTGAGATAGTCAACTTTATTTATGTTTTTCTATTGAACATACATTAAAACTAAGTTCATAAAAAAATATAATTGTTGACATCATATTTTCATACGGGGTGCCATTATAAAATTCAAATTATATAGAAGTAATATTTTGTTTTGTATATTGATCCGGATAAATTATAGGCCTATTAGGAGTCCAATGTCATACAAAGAAACTCAATCTCATTAAGGATTCAGAGCAAAGCGCGATGGACAACATCGCGCACGAGACGCAATGCTCTCATCGCGCAAGACAAGACGCGATGGCCATATCGCGGATAAAACTGCCTTTAAGGAAGCTAACTTAAGACCCAAGACAATTCCACCGCGCCTTTATACCTATAAACAGAAGACAGCTCCAGCTTGCCGCGACTCTACGGCTTGACATTAAGAAGATAAGGCTACTCCAATTCTAGCACTGACCTGCAGCCTAAGCCTGGCCACTCAGAGGTCATGCCGCATTACTAAAGGCGGCATCATAACCACTATATAAGCAGAGGGTACAACACCCAGGTACATTCATCTTTTACACTAATAACATACAAACTTCTGCATCTGATACTGACTTAAGCATCGAAGTGTTTTCGCAAGTACCCCATTCGGATTCATCGCACTACAACAAAGGACGGAGACATAGTAAGATCCAACTCCGATTCGAGACCTAAGACCAAGAACAATAATCCACATCTCAACCGTATGTGATTAAGTTTGATACATATTGATCAGCCCATATCGTATTTGATCTGATCATATATTTTTGAATTATTATCCGTGTAATGTTAGAAAGAAATTTGTTACAAATTATTACATATCAAACACATATTTAAGAATAATAAGAATCTTTTTTTTAGCAAATAATCTTAATTGATTCCAGTCTGGACCATTATTAGTGTGTCCTAATCGTCAAATTGACAAGGCACCTTATCAACTAATATGCAGATTTACGGGCGCAACAGCGGGTATTATTCTGCCACGCTATTGCATGCTTTGAACATGTAAAGTCCACTCTACTTGTTATCCCCAAAAAAAAAAAGAAAAAAAAAAAGAGAGAACTCCTCAGTCTAATGGAGACTTCTTTTTCCTAAGTTTTTGCATCAGAATTCTTCGAAACGCGCTCCACCTCTTACCTGTCTGACTGCAAATAACGGCCGCATCTATCGCTAAGTGAACAAGTCAGCAAAACAAACCATAAAATTTCACAAACGCATTACTCACTACACAATACAAGGAAAGAGAGAAGAAGAAAAATATTAAGATATGTAATTATAAAATTATTATTATTAATTCATTTTTATATGATTAAAATTAAAATCCTCTCACATAACATGATCATGTTAAGTAACTGTTAATAATATCCTTTTTCTTTTTCCCTTATATTGTATTGAATTGGACACCCTGTAATCGCTGTTATATAATTACTACTGCGTATTTCATGAATTTTACAATTTTTTTAAATTCGCCTATAATTTTAAAATATAAATTAAAACAAAAATATTAAAATTATATAATTAGATGAAAACATAATTACAATGTAAAGTTATAGTTCGTATTCTCATGCAACTTCACTCTCATCAATTATCCCGAGATGATCAATTAAGTATCAGGTGATAATGAGTATTAATTACAATTAATTCAGACTAAAAGGGAACAAAAAGAATGAACTACTCTTCATGCAGCACGATTCAATGGGGGAAGCTAAATAACCAAGCTTCGCCCCACAAGCCCCAAGTTGCAGAACATAAAAAAGAATTTTGACAGTCTCCGCTAGTTAACTTGCAAACAAGTGTAACCAAATTATACAAGGGCACGAAATCAAGCTCTAGAGCAGGATACTTAAAGATGAGTAAAAAGTTGAAATATTATAATAAGTCTGTTTTGCTGGGTTCAAATTAAAAAACCCAACATTCACTTAAGACGTGTCAAGAGGCTTCTCTGCACAAGTCAATTATTAAATAAAATATTTTATTAATCTCATGTTAAAAGAAATAAGTAATCTCATGTCATAGAGACAAACTTGTGAGCTCCACCACTTCAAAAATAAAAAGAAAAAAATGACACAGTTATCGAAGAGTGTGTAAGAAAGAAATTTATCACATATAACATAAGAGTAATTTTTTCTTAAAATAAAAAAGTTTCTTACAATGCCATCCATTTGAAAAAATATGGTTATTTTTTAAAGACAATATGTCAATAATCACCTCCGACATCTGACGTACTAGGCTTTGTATATATATTTATGCATTATACTTGCTTTCCATTTATTGTGATATTTCTTTGAACAGAGGCATAGAGGGCAGAATAAAGCAATGCAGATACACTAGTATCACTTTCTCACAGTAAAATTAGACAATGCTTGGACGAGAAATAAAAGGAAAAAGCAATGCAGTTACATAGCCTCGACATTTGTAAAAAGTTTCTTTCTTTAGTAGGAACTGATAACATCTATGACATTCCAGCCTCCCGAATTGCCATATAACCAAATTAACCACCCCGAGCTTCTCTCCTTGTGGCATCATGCAATAGTTCAACGTCCACCCCTTCTGGAGGCAATTGCACGTATCTCACCACCGACCCTCTAATAAAGCAGTTCCTTACAGAAAGCTGACACGAAATAGTAACATGTTATTCGTAAACCGTCAATCACAATTAAGTTGTGACCAGAATAGATAGATTAAAGTAAAACCGGCTACAACGTGAAGAATCAAAATACAATCAACATTAAAACTAGTTGGGTCATATACCAAATTAAGGGAGCCGAATATAAGCTATATAACAAATTTAACGGCAAAAGAACAGAGGTTACTTTTTTTTGCATGCAACAGGTGATGTGTGATGATTTGAGAAACTTGTATAAACATCCATTAATTCTAACTATTTAATTCCCTCGTATCCAAAGCTAAATTCTGTAATCCGTTTGCAATGATATCCTTAAAGTGAGTATCCCTCATTTATCTAGTCTATTATAGCAGCATACCTTAGTATATATCCTATCTTCTACGGTGTAAGAATATAACACAACAAACTCACATATTCACATCTTTTCTTAATGGCATACCAAACTAACCTGAAATTCAGGCCCATAGAAGTTAAAATAATGAGGCATCCCCTTCAAATGCAAAGCTATTATTCATATCCCAACATACTTCCCAATTTCCAACAGTCTACGAGATATAAGTTAAAACCATTTTAATCTTTCAATATTCATGAATAATTAACTTGACATTAAAAGGAAGGATGAGCATCAGTAGCCCCAGTCAAATTCCCAAATGTCTCCTACTATTGCTAGAATTGTGCCAATTTGTTGATTGCCTACTCTGTTTAAATGTAGATCAAGTAAAAAAATCATCACCTCCATGAATAAGTCCTTTGAGCCTTAACATTTAGAATAAACTTAAAGTAATGAAAGCAGTTTACCGGAGGCAAACATACCCACACACACCTTCAATATACATCCGTTTCATATAAACACATGAATTGCCAAGTAGAAGAAGAGTGACAAAAAGACAGACCAACCATGAAAATGAGAAACCTGATGTTGGCCCAAAAAAAGAAAACTCAAAAAAAAAAAAAAAAAAAAAAATCAACAAAGTCTTGACAATATATAATCTCATTTAATGTTTCTATTAAGAACCCAATAGACAAATTCCAAGATCCTTTGGGCTATGATTAATTTCTAAAATACAGATTACACAAATAAAATCTAGAAAACCACTATAATCAAAACATTGAAAGCATAATTTTTCTCTTTTTATTTTAATTATTTTCACTTTTGCTCAGTGCAAGGATAGTAACTATGATGAGTTAAAAGGAGAAACGGGCAACTCCTTCCTCTTTCGATTACACACAAACAGAAACCTAATGTGGAGCATATGCCACATATGAAGGACATGTTCCCTAAAAGCCATTACTAGGATAAAGCGTTAGAAGTTGAGGAATGGTAATAAGAATATAGCACTATGGCCAGGTCAAGGCAAAAAAACTATACAACAGAATTTTCAATCTGCATGGTACTGTGAGCACATATCTACATAGTTCCACTTATTCTCATCTTCTTGCCAAAGAATCATTTAAAAATCCCCTTAGATTTCTGACAGAAAAAAAAAAAAAAAAAAAAATCCCCTTTCCCTCCATTGTATCTTTTCTTTAACCAAATACTACATACCTTTAGATGAAGTCATTTGTCTCAATTTCCAAATCAAATGCTCAATAAAATCATGATCTACAGCTAAATCCATCTTCCAAAATTAACCGCACTCAGGCACCCCAATAAAAATTTGAATTCTGGTAACAGAACAATCCTATTATTTAATCTAGATGGGCACTCAAGTGCTTAAATACCTAATCAAACAATAAGCAACACTGAAACACGGATTAAATTTAAGAATAAAAAAAAAAAAAATCCTTATTTAATTTTTTTGTATTAGGTCACATTAGAGGTGTGTGAGCACCCGCATAGAGGAAGGGGGAAAGGTAGTTTGGTATCACACCCGAGTCTTAAACACTATAGCCGATTCCGATTGAGCAAAAAAGCTAGTCAGAATATCCTTATTTTTACCAAGTAGACAATTTTGACAAAATGACCCAAATACCAATATCTACGTATTAATCGCAAATTAAATTTTAAAACACCATAAACCCTACATCCGTCGCCCAAATATTCATATGATAAAGCAACTACTGAGTTTCAAACCGAACGTGTAATAGAAATAATAAAAGAATAAACCCTAGAGAGAGAGAGAGAGAGAGAGATACCATGTGTGGGTACTTGTCTTGGTCGACAACGCGAGTGTTCTCGAGCTTGATGTTGAGGTACTGATCAACAGAGTGCAATGTTCCTCTGATGGCCAAATCGTTCTTGAGCTCCACCGTTACTTCTCTCCCCACCAAATCCTTGAAGTAAGAGAAGAACAACTACACCAAAACCAAAACCATCACTGAAACGAAAATCAGAGAAATAAACCAAAACAAAAAAAGAAAAGAATATTTACCATTTTGAGATGGCGAAGAAGAAAAGATGAAACTACACTACACTGCACTACGCAGGGCGAGAGCAAAAGGAGTGTGGTCGTGGGAAAAAAAAGGGGTACAAGAATTTAACCTTGCTCGCTCGCGCTCTATTGAACCAAAATATAAATAGAAAAATTATTAATATTAAAATTTACCATTCGGACGAAATTGCCCCCGCGTCAAATTGTTCCCTCCCAAGCGCAATCGCACGGCCACAGCGCTATCGCACGTGCGCCGCACCTGCCGCACCATGCATAGTAATTAAGGTTAAGCCGAGTTATAATTAATTCTAAGAAAAGTTTAAATTAGATAAGTTTAAATTATGTTCTACTTTTTGTATTTTTAAAAACAAAATTTATATATTATATTTAAGGAAAATATTATACTTATTATCTTTTTTTCTTAGTTTCTCTTACTACCAAATCTTAACAGTTGATTTCCGTCAATCTAATGATTATAATGTATTAGAATTTAATAATTAATTAATAAGTGTGTGACCCAATACATTATAACCGTTAGATTGACGAAAATCAACGGATAAAATTTGATAATAAGAGGTATTAAAAAAAAAAATAATAAGTATAATCTCTCGGTGTATTTAAACATCGGAATATGAACGAGCATTTTATAATCAGTTTTTATCTTTCTATAATCCTAGCTATAATTAATTTTAAACTTTTACTACTGACTTTAAGATTTTAAAAAATAATATAGTATTTAAGATAAAATCTCAAAGTTAATAAAAGAAAATTCAAAATTTTATTTGATACTCCAAAATGTCAAAATCAATAACAAAGTATTCGAAACAAATTACCGATGACACTAACGGGGCGTTTGGTAGAAGGATTTTGTTAGGATTCCTGGGAAATTGAAAGTGGTAATCATATTTATCTACGTTTGGTACAAGTTTTTTAAAATTTTCCCGGGAATCTGATTTTCCCGGGATTTTATTTTGTGTGTAAATTTTTTTGAAAAAACCATCCAGGAATACCATTCAAAAGGTGGTATTCTAGGATTTCTATGGAAAGGGAAAATTTAATACAACTAAATATAGTATCAAGCAAATTAACCCAATATTCCCAGGAATATGTTAGTCTACCAAACAACTTTTCGATAACATTCCCAGAAAACTCATTTTCTCATCATATTCCTGGAAATCGTGATTCCCAGATAAAAAAAAATTTCTCTTATACCAAACGCCCCCTAAAAATCACAAACAAACAAAAAAAGACAATACGTTTATCTCTCCATAAAAGGTGTAATTTTGCAACAACAAAAAATGAAAAAAATATATAATTTAAACAGCTCTCAAATAACATAATAGACTTTTAATCTAAAAGAAATATCAGAAATAAAACTTGTTCCCGTCCCAACCGACGGCATGATCTTGGTAAGGAATCCAAAACAAGTCCAACCACAAATGGATTATGACTTTTACTATTTATTTAGTTATTATTGGACTTAATTTTAAATTAATCTAATAATAACTAAACAAATAATAAAAATAATAAATTTAAAATAATAATAAGTATAACCACCCTCACACTACTTAAACAAATATTGGCATAGAGAGATAATGGTATGAAATAGAGGTGGTTCAATCAGGAGATGCGTCTCAAATGTTTTAAGATGAGTTACGTTGCTGGATTGAAGAAACATTCAGATTATCAAATGCAAAAAAGAATAATACAACAAACGGAGCAGTGATCAATACTTTCAGACAAATGTTTTTCCAGTAAAAGAAATACAAGATATTACAGAAACCTACATCAAACAGCACAGTAATAACACCAACACAAATTACATTTACATCTCTTACACATGAATAAGCTAAGAAAATGAAAAATTGCTTCTAACCCTATTAAAAGATTATCATCTCCCTCTTTAACAACAATGGCTCCCGCTATCTTTTAAAAAGGAGATTGGAAGAGGGCTGTACGTAAAGCTCTTCAGTGTTCACACTAAAGCCTTTGCTTCACCCGCCTCCCATTTATGTCGCTTCCGTCGAGTATGACTTCATTCCTATGCTTGTACATGAAGTCCGAATGCTCTGTAAATCTAGCCACGTACTCCAATAGTTCAGTCAGAACAGATGGGCAACTTTCCTTCAAGTACTCAAATCCATCAGTTTGCATCACAGCTGAAGAACCAAAAAGATGAAAAAATACTTCAGTAGTAATAGTATTTCTGGATGAAGTGGATTAAGAATAAAAATGTTATGAACAACCTTGTTTCAAATTGGTCCAGATAAATTTACCAGAACTGAATATTTGGTAACAGCCATCCATAACTATCATATGAGATGTGTCAACCAAAAAAAATGTGTTCAAAATATGAATACCAAATATTCGCCCCTAAGTAAAACTAAAATCCTGGAAGACATGTACTAATCGTTCCACAATCTATGCACTCCTTTGTCTTCTTTTTTTATAATAATAATTTTTTAGAAGAGGAATAGGGAAGCACAAAAGCAAAATTTAAATATTCACAACTCTCCCTAAGAGGGAAAAAGAAAAAGGATTCGTAAGGTTTACTAGTACAAATTAACTGGTCATACAAGACTTCGACATCAACTTGGGACAATAACTGAACTGCATTTGCATATATAAATTAGTAGTAAAAAGAAAAAGATCACATTAAAGCATCACCATATGATTCTTTCACAGCTTAGCATTTTCTCATTCAAGTTCAAAGTGGAAGGCATAAAAGTGGCAAATTGAAAAATGACAAGCATCACTGTCAACATTCAGTAACAAATTTAACTCTTGATCATAGTTTACTTCGACTTTCAGACCTTCTGGGGACAATTACCCCCTTATAGTGCACTCCTTTTATTGTGAGCAACAAAGTAGAAGTTTAGAGAAGAAAAACAAACCTCTGAGATTTTCAGAGGTTGCAATAAACTTGAGACAGACTGCTTTCAGCTGGAAACAATGGTGCTGCTCTGCCAAGGCTAAAGTTGTAGCCACAGTATTTATTGCAACATCTTCACAGAGACTTGCTTCACACATCAGCCTAAGCCTCTCTAACCCATACCGATCAGCTGCTGCTAGAAGATGCTGAGCCATCAAGGTTGTTGCCCATTTTGAGTTCAACCCAGTAAGCTCTTGCATGTCAGGTAGCGAGTCCCAGTATATAAAATGAAGCAATGCCTGCACAATAGAGAAAAGGCACAGATGACAAGTATTCTGCATGCATATTGCCAGCATAGTTTATCAAGATAAATACTGCCACATTCTCATTAGACAAAAGCCTTGCATGTTCTAATTGTATGGAAAAACCACATGGAGTCAGCGTGTGTTCCCATATTGTATATACAAAAACATAACCACGACATTTCCTTTTCATTACAACTATATCCAAAACAAAAAAAATCAATAAAAAAAAATATTTCACCTTCTATTGTTATTTCAACTCAATTGTCTCTGCATATTTAAGATATTAAATAAATAATTTTTTATTTTATGTGAAGCATCAAATCATGTTCATTAACCTCGGAGATCAAAATCAAATTGATATCATGCAGCACGTAGAAAATTTGAACAAGTCCAGTTCTTATAGATCTGAAAGAATCAAACTTCAAGCAAAAGCATATATTCTTCAAAAGCATCAAATAACTTCTTCCCATGGCCAAACAGCCATGTGAATCTCCCAATCCAAAATGCAAACTGCTACATTATGAGTTTTCTTTTAGTACCTGAATTCATGTTTCATATTCAGCAGGATTGAATTATAGCTTTAGGATCTATATAGTCAGACTACGTAGTACCAGCTGGTTCTGATTATATAGTTGGGTAAACCCCAATGCACAAGGCTTCCCGACTTGCAAGGATAGGAATGAAGGTCGATTATACGCAGTCTTACACTAACATTTTTGCAAAAAGGCTGGGTTCGAGTCCGGGAAAGAACCCTTTTGCAAAAATATAAGGATAAGGCTGCGTACAATCGACCTTCACCTCTACCCTAGCAAGTCGAGAAGCCTTGAGCACCGGGATTTGCCAATTATATAGTCAGAGCGAGCTGGTACAACTTACAAGTGGGGAACCTAGAAACTAAGGAACCACAAAAAAGCTCATAATAATGGTTAATTTATATGAAAACTTGTTTCAGTTTTTTTTTTTTTTTTATCTTTCACAAAGGTTCATGTGCTCTCAGCGGAATGCCATCAATTGAGTGATCATCCAACAGCCAAAGATAGTAAGATACTACCAACCGGGCAGGGATGCTGAGGAATTTTCAATTTTCAAAACAAACTATTACCCGTTCATCTGAATGGAATGTATATTACAATGAAATGTGTGTCCCCTTCTCATTAGAGAGAAGCTACAAAAGAGATGTAAATTGAAATAATCATTAAAACACTTTTCTAAAAACCCATTTCAGAACAATACACCCAACTAATGCATGAACCAGAGCTCAGGAGTGGGTATTAAGACATATGTCTGACAAACAGAAATATTAAGGAAAATCCAAGGAAAAAAGGCACAAAATCATGAAGCACAATGTGGTTACGATATAGAGAAAAAATATTAACCAAAACCATATTCGGCAACAAAATTACAAGCCAAAAAAAAAATAGGAAGCACAAAGAGCATTTAAACAAACCTTAAAAACTGGAGCCTCCATGTCCTCAACTTTTATACACTGGGTATTCTGATCTTTCATAGGACCAAAAAGCTGGGCTCTGAAAACAGGGGAACGAGCTGCTAGTACCAATTTATGCACAGCAAAACTTTCTCCTGTCACTTCAAAATTCACATCACTTCCTTTACCACTTTCCAGCAGTTGCCCAAATTGTTGACCAATGTTAGAAGACGGTATTGCTATGGAATAGATTTTAGGGCCTTCAGTGCGTGACCTCACAACACCAACACTACAATTCACTGAGAGGCAATCATCTTTTAGGTAGTCCGACGTCTCTAGAGCTGTTCTCTTAAAAAACCGCTTGTAACCCCTGAAACACTCGGTATTAAACAATTAGCATTTACCAATATGTTCAGAAGTTGTACAAGGGAGACAATAACTGATGCACCCGAGCTGACTCGCTTGGATTGGACATTTTCATAATTTATTTCTTTATTTAGGAAATTTTAATAATTACTAGTTATTTCCTTTTGTTATTTTAGATTATGTTTGAGTGTGCGTTGATTGTGCGTTATCTGCTTTGATTGCGCATGATTATAGTTATTTACTTTTTTTGTTATTTTGTTTTTGCCTATTTAAGACTTGGAGAACCCTATTGTTATTTAGTTATTTTTTGGTTAAAGAAAATTAAGAAAAGAGAATAGTATTTTCTCACAATCCTTGTTTCGTTCTTCTTTCTGTTTAGCCAATTGGTTACTGCTCCAGCATTATTTGGTATCAGAGCTCTGGTTGTCACATAAATGGCTAAACAGAACAATGGCGGTCGAGGTCAAGGTCGTGGACGACGGGGTCGAGGCGACGGCGGCGATAGAGGGCATGTTAACACCCTTGACGTCGACGGCAAACAACCACACATTGACGTGCGACACACCATAATTGTAGCAATGGCTGCTACATTGGCAGAAAATGGTAGGCGAATTCAGGAGCTCGAACAACTATTTGCCCAAACACAGTTGGACGAGTCAGATGAAGGAAGGGAATCTGAAAGATCATCTCATGAGGAGGAAAGGAGCAAAAACTCATTCTGGAATTGGAATGAGGAGGGACGACGACGAAGTCAACCTCGAAATCAATCCTTTTTTGCTAATATTGGGGTGAAGATTGAGATCCCAAAATTCGAGGGCACCACTCATACAGATGAGTTTATCGACGGGTCACACACCGTCGAAAAGGTCTTTGAAGGTCCCGATCTATGATGAATATGATGAAGAGCAAGAAGGTGAGAATCCTGTTATGGATGCTCATGCTCCAATTTATGACGAGTTCCCTATCTACGATAAGTATGATTGGGAGCAAGACGATGAGAATCCAGAGGTAGAAGAAATCTCTTATATTGATTTCGGTGGAAAATCAGTTATTAGAAATAATGATGCACTTACAGTTGGCCCATTACACATGGCCCAACAATTGATTCAGGAAGCCCAGAGTCAACCAGAATTGTGGCCCAATAAACATGGCCAAATTGTTAAAAGAAGCAATAATTTGAAATATAAAAAATTACAATCAAACCCAAGTCTAAAAGAAGCATCAGATATGATTGTGATTTGTTTGACAAGAAAAGGAAAGCAACACATTTAGCATGATTTGAGATATAAGATTTGGGAAGTATTTTGAATGATTTAATTGTAATTATTTATTTATTTTTAGAGGTTAGTTGTCGTTATGTTTAATTTAGGAATTTTCCTTATTTTTAGGATTTTAGAAATTTGAATTTTGAATCAATTTGTAATTAGTCTATAAAAGGGTGCTTATGACCCTTATTTTAGGAGTTGAATTTTGTAATTTGATAATTAGAAATTGAGAACCGGAGGGTTACTCTTTTGTGAAATCCTAACCACTTTTCTATGCGCTTTCGGCATCATTTGGTATCAGAGCACTAGGTTGCCTTCAACCAATGACTGAACAGAATCGTGGAGGTCGACGACGGCGGAGTCACGAGGGTAGGGAACGTGGATTTGTTCCTGAAGAATATAGACAACTGCGTCAGATTGACCCACGAGACATAGAAAATGAAGAGCTCGAAAGGCGGATCCAGGATTTGAAGGAACAACTTGAGCAAGCGTTGGACAAGAAAATCCAATTTTTGAAGCAACTATGTGTGCGGCCACAGAGAAAGAGAATTCAAGATTTGGAACGACGACTCGTGCGGGTATGCATGAAAATTCAAATTTTGAAGCAAACTCTTATGGAGGTGCAGAGCATGGAAAGTCAATATTTGGAGCGGCGACTTGCGTGGACAAAGTTGGGCATTCAATCCGAAGAAGGAATGGAATTAGATGACGCATCTGATGACGAAGAAGAGGACGTCAATCCCTTGAGGATTCTAAACCAGGGACAAAATTGGGAAGTACGACCTGGAAATCAGTCCACTTTTGAAGATATCGAGATGCAAGTCAGCATTCCTGACTTTGATGTCTATGATCATAATCCAGTTTGTGTTGATGATCCGATCTATGATGATGAGCCGACCTATGATGATAATCTAATTTATGATGATTATCCTATTATTGATAGTTATCCCATTTATGATGATTATCCATCTTATGATGAAGATTCAATTTATGATGAAGATTCAATTTATGATGATAATCTTGTCTATAATAAATCTGATGGTGAATCAGATTATGAAGATCTCATAGAAAAAGATTTATCATTTGAATTTTTGTCTAAAGAAATTCAGATCAGTGGAGATAAACAAGATTCGAGGATGAATCTTTTCCAAGTGGGAGAGAATGATGCACTTACAGTTGGCCCATTGAACATGGCCCAACTATTAATTCAGGAAGCCCAGAGTCAACCAGAATTGTGGCCCAATAAATATGGCCAAATTGTTAAAAGAAGCAGTAATTTGAAATATAACAAATTACAATCAAACCCAAGTCTAAATGAAGCATCAGATATGATTGTGATTTGTTTGACAAGAAAAGGAAAGCAATACATTTGGCATGATTTGAAATATAAGATTTGGGAAGTATTTTGAATGATTTAATTGTAATTATTTATTTATTTTTAGAGGTTAATTGTCGTTATGTTTAATTTAGGAATTTTCCTTATTTTTAGGATTTTAGAATTTTGAATTTTGAATTTTGAATCAATTTGTAATTAGTCTATAAAAGGGTGCTTATGACCCTTATTTTATGAGTTCAATTTTGTAATTTGAGAATTAGAAATTGAGAACCGGAAGGTTACTCTTTTGTGAAATCCTAACTTTCTGTTTACCCACTTTTCTATGCGCTTTCGGCATCATTAATGATGCACCCGAGCTGACTCGCTTGGATTGGGCATTTCCATAATTTATTTCTTTATTTAGGGAATTTTAATAATTACTAGTTATTTCCTTTTTGGAATAGTTTATGGGTTTTGTCCAGTTACTCCCTTAGAAGAACTCACAATATTTCTAGTTTCCAAGCAGTTCAATACGAATGGAGACGAGCGTATCAAGAAAGAATTACATTCACAAGTCCTAATCTTAATTAGGGAATTTGGTGATATTGTACCAGAAGAATTGCCACCTGGGTTACCACATGAAGAAGTTCATATCAATGAAGACGAAGCAGATTCGAGGGCGAATCTTTTTCAAGTGAGAGAGAATGATGCACCCGAGCTGACTCGCTTGGATTGGACATTTCCATAATTTATTTCTTTATTTAGGGAATTTTAATAATTACTAGTTATTTCCTTTTGTTATTTTTTTTTTTTTTTTTTTTTTTGATAACATCCTTTTGTTATTTTAGATTATGTTTGAGTGTGCGTTATCTCCTTTGATTGCGCATGATTATAATTATTTACTTTTTTTTGTTATTTTGCTTTTGCCTATTTAAGACTTGGAGAACCCTATTGTTTTTTAGTTGTTTTTTGGTTAAGAAAATTAAGAAAAGAGAATAGTATTTTCTCACAATCCTTGTTTCGTTCTTCTTTCTGTTTAGCCAATTGGTTACTGCTCCAGCATTAATAACTTTCAAAAAAATAAAATAAGACCAGAGTATATCTCAAAAAATAATAATTAAATGACATGAACCCTTCCCCCACCCCATCTCTCTCAAATTATTAATCCCTTCATCCTTTTTCCACAGCATCCCAAACACACGACCACATTAGTGGGAACAAGGAACAAAAGATTTCACCCATTGAATCATTCCATGAAACCTACTCCATCAGACAGACAGTACAAACACAAGGCACCCTATAAGACTTGCCTTATATATCAAAAGAAAATGATCGCGCAATACACTATATGCAGGGTAGTAGGTATTCAAATGGAAATATAAACTGTAGCACCCCAAACCTTGTAAAACTCTAAAAACTAAAATTCAACTCTAAATATTAGCAGCTTCCAGTCACACGCATTACACGCAAATTAACATACCAGGATCAAAACATGGCCGTGTACCCCACAAGCTAAAAATATAATTTTTTTCAGACAATATTCTATGAAACGCATAAAATCAATAAAAAAAGAGAAGGGGCAGGACGAAATGAAAATCAAAGTTAAATTTTCAAATTAAAAAATAAAATAAAAATCAACTTACCACATACTACCACGGTATTTTAAAGTGTAAGGCCCACTTTCGAGAGTCCTCTCGAAATGGCTATGCACCTTATGCCTCTCCTTCCCGCTCTGATCCAAAAGGGTCAACTCAAAAAGAGCCCTAACATCAGTGCCATCACTGGCAAGCGCGATGAAGAGGGACACGTAGGTAGCATTGTCCTCGACGCTCTTTCCATCAGGGTAAAAATAGATGGCCCAATCGTACCCACCCACAGAAAACATGTCGGACGCCACGTATTTCCCAATCCCAATCCCTTTCGACAGCGAATACCCCGTGATCTTGAAATGGTGCGAACCTTTCACGGTCTCGGTCACCGACGTCGACGAGGTCGTCGCCGGCACGGAAGACGGAGACGGGCATGACGAATTCGAAGATGGCTTCGCGGTTTCTCGGAGAATCTTACCCATCCGCGAGCCACCGTAACTGAAACGACCGATCGAGGGATTTGCGAAACGAAGAAGGAATTGGGATTGAGGTGGGGGGATTGGACTATCTGATTTGGATAATTGAGAGTTTGACTAGAAAATCTAGGGTTCCGTTAGGGAAACTTGTCAGAATCTGGAAGATGAATTTCTAGGGTTTCGATTCAGAGAGAGAAGGAGAAAGAATGAAGCAGAAAACTAAGATATGAAATGACAGATTCAGTTTTCTAGATAAAATAATAAATTTTACCATAAATAAGAAATGTAAAACACGTGTAAAGCCACTTGAACAATAAAATGGCTTTATAGATAAGTTAATAGATTTTTTTCTACCATTCTTGACCCACTCGCTCACGTGTCCTGTGAAAGATAAATAAGTTAATGTAAAACACGTACGGGGAGTGGAGAGTTGAAGTTTTACGTGAAGTGTACAATTTTTGTTTATTTCTTTCTGCATTAAATAAGGGATTTAATGTTTGTGATTTTAAAAGATATAAAGTTATATCATTTTAAATTAGATAAAGACGCAAGTAATGAAAATTGAAAATTATGGAAAAAAAATGAGTGATTTTTTTTAAGTTTAAATTTTAAATAAAAAATATTACGTTGTGTCTTACTATCATTTAAAATGACATAAATCTATCTATATATAAAGAGGAAAATCACTCTTTAAAAACTTTGTTGACGTGTCATTCTCTTCTTCAATATCCACTTTGTGTTCACATTTGAAATGTCTTTAAAAATTTCCTCCCTTAGTAACTTTTTCAATTCGAAATTTAAAATCCATATAAGTGGAAAAAGAGTTCAGTATTAATTAGTGGCAAACATCCGTAATAATATCTCTCTACCACATGCATGGGTAATTGTTATGTCCATTCATAATGCCACTATTTTCTGTACCGAAAATTGATAAGTCTATTAATAATACGAATACTTTTGGCATCAAAAATGTTGAGTCTATTAGTAATATTATTGTTAAGTTCAAAAAACCTCCTTATTTCATATATATATATATATATATAGGATATGTATTACCGCAAATTTTTCATTGATAATCAACTTTTATGCACATATCTCTTCTATATATGTCTGTTTATCTTCTTCATCTTTTCAAACTGTTATTTTGCTTAATCTTACTCATTATTTGTGCGTTTATAGTTTTCTACATCATGTTTGTTGATATTCCATGTTCATTATTTTATACTTTATTGTGTGAATTGTTTATATTATTTTTGAAAACAATATATTATTAGTAGGGAAAGGTTATATTGACAAACTTTTTTTCTTACAAACTACACTAAGTCTGACTAGTCAGACACTCTTGATTGAAGTCTGACTAGTCAGACTTACTGTAGTTTGGAAGAAGAAAAATTTGTCAATATAACCCCTCCCTTATTAATATAGTATATTTAATTAATTATTTGTGCATTTATAGTTTTTATATTATTTGAATAAATTATTCAATTAAAAGGAATGACTATTCAATATTTTTCAGTATATCATTATTTTAATGTTATTTATGACTAGCTATTTCCAAACTAGTGAGTAGTTGACTTTTCATATTCTTCACCAAATTATTGAGGTAGAGTTGAAGTATTATTGAGATTAAATACCATGCATTAAATATATGCCTATATATATGTTAATTTTGTGAATAATTAGTTATACTTATGCAATTAAGCTAATGAATAGTCTTTTGATATTACCACATTCAACTTCAACTATGAAGTATTTGTTAGAATATTAAACATACTAACTAGAATATTTGTCAACTCTTCATCTAATATATATGTCACAAATACACACATCTTAGAGAATCAATTTAGAGGCAACTATATAAAACATAAATAGATAGTAATCTAGATACAACTATAAGAACCTTTTTTGTGTTGATAAATATAAAAACTTATTACATGCTAATATAAAATGCTGACAGTTAAAGGTGACAAATTTGGCTCGGTCCGGAGGGCCAGCTCGCCCTACCTACCAACACATTTTTATAATTAAATTAAAATTTCACCCTTTTTTCTCTTTATAATTAAATTCCTAAATCTGGTTTTAATTTATGTAAATACAAAATTTGTCAAAATCCAAATACTAATGACACAACTCCTTGCAAAAAAATAATTATTTATTCTTATTGTAATAAATAAAAATCCATCTTTGAGAAATACTAAACAAAGTCGAGTCAAATTTTGTAATTTTTTGATGACTGTAGGACAAGCTAAAATACAGCAATGTACTTTTACGATTTGCGTTAACATTTACGAGACAAACAAACCGATTTCTTTTTTTTTTTTTCGTGCAATCCATATGTAATACTCTAGTGTCCTTCAAAATAGGATAAACATTTTCCCCTAAAATAAGTAGGGTTCAATTATTATTAATGAAAAAAAAATAGACACAAAAATTTTGAATGACCAGATCATGTAAAACTTTAACCTTCCACCTAAGCTGCGCAGGAAAAGCCCAAAGTCAATCCCAAGGAACAGTGAAGTTTCATAGGGTCTCTCTGTCAGAGTGGAGGTAGTCTGTATCTTCGCAAACATGTCCATTTCATCGAGCCTCTCTCCAAGAAAGTGCCTAGAGAATAAAAATAATGTGCACGCATTTATGTAGGGTTCCATTTTTCTTCATATATCATATATGTTACGGTAAATAACAGAAAATGTAGAATATTCATTCCCGAGAAGTGTATGTGTTTTTTTTCTTTTTCTTTTTTAAGATCTCCATCATCTCACGTGTGAAATTATACAAAAATCAAAGTATGTTGGTAACGTATTGCGTTTTGCACAACGCGTATCATTTTCATGTGAATATAAGTCATGGATTCTCATGTACATCTTGCATGCATGCCACGTGGCAGGTACGCTGACTTTTGCACAAATTGTGTATGGGGTAATATGTGACTCAAATTGAGGTAAGTCCACTAGAAGTTAAGCAATTGAAGAAGGAAAAGAAAAGAATAGTCCTCAAATGAGTTCAAAGAGGAAAGAAAGATGAATTGAAAATTGGAAAGCAATGAAAAAGAAAATGTGAGAAAAAGGATGGGATCCTGAATTCAAATAAGTAGTGCAGTTTAAAACCTGAATTGAGATCACCCATTTTCACTTTTCAAAACTAATATAATGGGAAATGATTTTCTCTTTTCAAGGAGAAAATTAGTCATTCCTACACACATAATCAATAAATGCATCTTAACTTGATTTTTTTTATGGACTTCACTCATTTATTGAATCAATTGTAACGAGGAAATGATTTCTATTTCAAAGGCAAAAAAAAATTTATCTATCGCGGAGAGAAAAAAGGTGAGAGAGAAATCATAAATGTGTCATTTTTCTTAAAGACAGACAATTTTTTGTTGTTGTTGCTTTGAAGCATAAACCATTCCCCTATTAATATTATTGTTGATTTGTCATGTTCGACACCACCTATCATGTTAAATGTTGCTGGTTATTAGAGGTGGCAAAATGGGTGGCCCATCCCGCCTCGCCCCACCTTACCGCCATCAACCCGTCAAAAAACGAGCTAGCCCGCCCCGTCCCGTTTGGCGGGTTGGCCCACCAGTCCGAGCCTATTTTACATTGACTCGTCTCGGTCCGTCTATGCCCACCATCAATCCGCCATAAAATGAGTCTGCCCCGCCCCACTTTTGACATGGGTTGAAAAACTCGGCCCGCCCCGTCCGATTTAGCAGATTGGGCAAGTTGGCCTGCCGAGCCGAGCCCGTTTTGCGGGCTCTACTGGTTATGTTGTCTTTAATTTTGTGAAAGGTAATATTTAAATTAATTTAATAAATATATAAAAGATAGATTTAAACATAATAAAGTTAATTTTGTTTTTAGTTAATTTTAAACATATTTAATATAAATTTAGATATCAATATATAATAAATAAATAAATAAATTAAGAATAATTAAATTAAGATTTTAAAAATAGGTAAAAAATTTAAATATTATAATACTAGAATTTGTTTTCAACCAATCTCAAATAAATTTAATATCTATCCAAATAGGAATATATAATAAATAAACATGATAAGAAAAATAAAATTATAAATTGAAAATTATATACAAAATAAATTTAAACATGATAAGATCAATTTCTTTTTCTTTTTTTGTAATCTATCCAATTAATTTGAGTATTTTTTATGTTTATGTTATATTACATTATTAATTATGTAGTGAGATTTATAGAGTGTGAATAATTTTATTTAATTATATATTTGTTATTATTATTATTTAAATTTTTTAAAATCATTTAATTTTGTTCAATCACAAAAAATTTTTTAGCTCTCCTATTAGGTTAAACAAGTGTAGATCTTGTATTTTATTTTAATTTTTTATTTTTTTTTGAACAGAACAAATAGGACATATAAAACCTAAACTTTGGAAAATCTTTGGACTTTGGTATATAAGGTGTGAACTGAGGGAGGGATAAGAGGATTGGGGTGTGACCGAGGCAGGAAAGGAGGCAACTGTTGGTTACAGAACCTCCAACTAACTTGTTTGAAACATGCTGCAGAGACTGTGTTTGATGGCTTCTCATGGTTACCCTCCAGGTCCAGGGCTTCTTTTACACCAAGAACTGGGCTTGCCCACCACCAATATGAAGGTAACAACATCTCCTTTATCATATCAAAATCTCTGCATGTTTTGACATTTTGCTGGTTTTAATTGCTTGTTATTGGATTGTCATATAGGGATATTATATTATGTTTGAACATTATTAATATTAATATTAATTAATGTTATTATGGAAAATTATTTTTTATGGTTTCTTTCTTATATAAATTTTACTAAAACATCCTTCGTTAATTTCCCCGAATGATATAGTTTTGAGATTGCTAGATTATGAGTGCTGGAAAGGAGGGTCATGAAGGAAAAGGAAAAAGAGTATAAATTTTTAATTTTAATTAAATATTCTCTAATTTAAGATTTTTTTCTTCTTCTTAAATTGAAGGAATGGAACGAGAGATTATTATGTAACCTTTCAATTATCTCTTTGTCAATTTTATAAATACTTTATAATTCTCTCAATTCAAAAATGAAAAATTTATCCTCCCCTTTTTCTCTAAAACACTACACCTTACGTGGGAGTAGCTTGGAAGGGAAGGGAGAGAAAGGCTAATTTTTCATTTAAAATTTTAGAGAAAAATAAAAATGAATAAGGGATGATTTGAAGGTTACAAGATAATCTCTCGTTTCATTCCCCTATTTTAATGAATTCTCAAATAAGGGAATGTTTACCTAGAACAAAAAATTTTCCTTCAGAACTCTTCCTCCATCCAAATATAGCCTTGGTTTTGATAGTGTCAAAAGGTTTGCATCTGCCATGAAGTCATAAATCATTATAATGCTTTATTAAAATTCCGAACTCGATATAGTTTACATGGTTCTGCTACTTATATTGTCTGTATGGTTAATTGGTTACTTATGCAGTTTGACTGAGTAGACTGGACAATTGTGTATGCATAATTTTTTATTGCTGATTCCTTTTTTGACATTTTTTCAAGACAGGGCTATCAAACATTCTTGCCTTCTACTGTAGCAAAACCGGATATGATCAGATATCAGTCTCCTTGTCTTAAGCCAAATCCATGTGATGAGTCAAGGAAATCCCAAAGTGAATGGTTCGGGTACAATCAGTTTGTCAATGTTGACTTTTCAGCTCAAAGGCCCATGCTTAGTGATGTCCAAGGCATGTTTAATCCAACCATTCTATGGTTAACTTTTTCTATAATGTTAGATTATTGTTTGATTGTTTCCATGCATTAGTAAAGGTGTAGAACATGTGAAAAGTTCAAGTAACAGTACTCACTATACCCGCTGACTAGTCATGTGGAAATATTGCACGTTTGGCTAGCTACCACACTTAAGTTCTTGTTGAATAGTATCTTCTAATTAAAGAAATAGGAATACATTTCATATTTTAACATTCTCTGATTGCTTCCTGTTTCTTGTTGACTTCCAAAATTTCATTGAATGTGGTATGGTACCATTGGGGATGGATTGTGTCTGTCTCTGTTTATTGATTGTGCATCTTTCTTCCATATGTTAATTTAGTGGCAAGATGTCAAATCTGATAACCAATAGATTAGAGTAGTTAGTGAAGACTGGCTTGTTCTCTTAGGTGTTAATGTATTACTAATTTGCTTCATTAATGTAAAAGACTGGGGAGCAAATGACAAAAAATATGGTTGATAACTTTTATTTTGGATGTATTTACTGTTGCGACGAATGCTTAAGATGAATTATGCTGCTAAATCCTGTGTGTTTTTATGTTATGTATCTTATCCTGAGTTTCTGACTTTTGAGTAACATTATTTTTCTTTGGTTGCAGCAACCTGCTCAAATGCAGTACTTTTCAGCTTTGGCATTGTTGAACAGTGTTCTAAGCATGATAAAATTTCAAAGTTCTTAATGTCCGGTACTGCTGAAAGAGGGATAGATGGAGCAAATTTATCCTTGTTATCGGACTTGATGAATTTGCAGTTGTCAGGCATTGATGAAACTCAACAACCAGTGTCATCTCTTATATACCCGAATAGCAAATTCTACATCCAGAAGCCTTTGCTGGATTTTGTTCAAGTTTCAGGCCTTACTTCAAAGATTACAGTTCATCCAGATGGTCAAATCACATATATGGGTACTGAGATTGAGCTGAAAGATCTTCTTTTTGTGGTTGCTGAGTCATACTTATCAAAAAACACACATAAGGGTGAAAAGCACTCTATGCTTGTTCCACACTTCAGTAGGTATAAATATGTTGACCTGTTTAAACTTCAACCAATTAAATGAAATTCTGACTATCCTGGCATCGAAAGGACTATTTGATAATTTAATTTTTCATATTAGAACGGAACAATTTTCTTTGTAAACTATGTTGATCTTTGGATTAGCATTAACCGTTATGCGTTATTTAGATTTTCAACATCAAATTAAAAGATTTGCCAAAATATGTTTGCAAATGATATGCCTCTTCTCTATTATATTCACAAAATATTATCCTTTTAGAGGTTGTATAGATACCAGAGTCTTTGCATGATAAAGCCTTGAAATTGTTGACTGCAATGTATTATATTCATAACAACCAGTTTAAATATTGTATCCACATTCATGCATAATCGAGAATGGATCACTGATGTAGAGTAAAGAAACTTAGGTTAAATCTGTAGCACTGAGGAAACAGAGGTAATATAAATGCATGTATACTTTATACTAATTATTGGGAGGGTTAAAGTTCAAATCCTGGAGAATACAATTGTTGGGAGGACCTTAGTAGCCAGCTGGAACAATACCCAATAGATTAGTCTCACAGCAATGCATGTGGGGATAACCTGGTCAAAGACCATAAAAATATGAATGCATGTACGGTAATTAACATAAATCAGTTTAAATCAATTGATTAACTTGGGTATTCATGTTGATTCCTTGCTTCAATTGAAATTTCAATAAAATTTTGATATTATCATTATGTTCTTCAGTAATAAATATCAACTATCACTTTCTAATCTCCAGATTTGACAGTCTATTATTGTTAGTTTTGTATCAAGGAACTGATTTTTGCTGAGATTCTGTATGGACAGGGTGAATATCAATGAAGCAGAGGGCAGAAGTCAATCCTCCATATTGAATATTCAATCTACCTTAACTGCTCCTTTAAGGAGGTAAGCAGAATATACTAACCCTGACTGTTGATCTGTTTTCTGACTGGGATATGCTCTGATATTGGTCAGGAAAAATTAAATATTTTTATCTTCTGCCTTCACTCTTATTTAGCATTTAAATTGCTGAGCATTTGCCTGTTTCTATAGTTTGAATTTTAAAAGTTAATTTAAGAAAACAAACTCATGTATATGCCACAAAAGGTTCAAGACTAAGTATTTTTTTTTTACTGCAACCCCCCTCCAAAAACATCTAGGAGAATGTGGGTTGTGTGTGATAGAGAATAAGTGAAAAGAACAACTCAGTGGGATTATCATTGCTGAAAATAGGTAATTACATTAAGACAAAGAGAACCAGAAGGTCTGGCCTCCCCAGAACTATTGCCCCTTGCTGAGAGAAACTATTCTCCAGCCCCAAGCCTCAGCTATAATTCTCAACAATACAAAACAGAATGCCTACCTCACAGCCCACTACCTAAAACTTACACATACTGCTGCCTCCTCATAACAAATTCTCTCTCCTCCAACTACCTTGGGTCCAATGGAATTTCTTTCTCATGTATACCTTTCATTCGTATTAATTGAGGTCCTAACAGGTTGCAGTAGTAAATCTTATTTTAGGCGCTTCTTGAAACCTTTGAGACATTATTAAGCTGCTTCATTGCGAACATCTATGCCCCTTCATGCAAGATCCCTTTAGGCTTGAAGCATGCACATTCCCACCTACTTTGTATTAAAATTCAACTTTTTATTTGAAGAGTCGAGGCAACAAAGATCAACTCTAGATTACTTGGTTTTTAGAAGCTCTAATACCATATCATGAACCAACTCTCCCCAAAGCCTGTTAAGTGAAGACACGTGAATGATTTTATATTACATTTTAACGGAAACAGATTTGTGAAGAATGAGAATTCATTTCCAAGAACAAATCGAACACAAATACTATGATATATTATTTTCTAAGGAAATGTTTTTAATTAGAATTATTTTCTGGGTAACTGATCTTAATTATAAATGTTTCTCTAGGAAGCTACTTTTTATTCAAAGTTGTAAAACAAATGGAGCTTTTTTGAAGGGGCTTTTCATCTAATGAGGGATTAAAATCACTTTTTTGCAATTTATTTCATCGGTTCATCCACACTTGAGATTATGATGTAGTCCATCTGAACTGATCTCTTGAATACTCGCCGATGAGAAAGAAGAGTTTCTTTTAAGGGTTTAATGTTTCTCCTACGAGTTGGAGATAAAGTTATCTCCTACAGATACAGAGGAGTGGATGGGCTCCTTTTTTTCTCACTCTCTTCTCCTTATAGGGCCCACCCCTCCCTTATGTCTATAGGAGGTAATATTATTCCAACTTGTAAGAGAAACATTAAATCTTTCTTTTAATACTGACAGTGTACATGAGTATGGATAAATTTTTATGACATGATGATATAGAGGTATCATGTTGAATTGTTGGGCTGCTTTATTACTTTCATTTAGTTGAATGTATCTACCCAGTTGTGGATGGTCTCATCTACTGAATCTATAATGACTAGTGATTTCATGCTCAAGAAATATTATAAAAGTAATGCTTTTCTCTTTGCTTAGCAGTCCTGAGAAAGTCAAACTCAAGCCATCACCAAAAAAGAACAAGAAACTAGGCAGGGAAAGGGATCTCTACAAGAAGAACTATGTACATGCATGTGAGAGCCTTCTGTCCTTGATGGTTGACAAGAAGCAACGTCGGAAAACAGCAATTCTTACATTGAAGAAATCTGGCACTGAGCTTCCTGAGCTCCTGACACAATTTTCTGCTGGCATTGCTGGGACTGGCCTTGCTGTCCTGCTATCTGTATTCTGTAAGCTAGCTTGTGGAAGGGTTCCCCTTTGTGCCTCTAACTTGTTCAACACTGGGTTCGGATTTGGATTGGTTTGGCTTTCTTGGGCAGTAAATAAGCTAAGGGCCACAGTTGTCAATATCAGCAAGAATGCAGAAAAGTTGGGTTTGAAAGAAGAGGAAATTATTCAGAAACTGGATAAGAACATAGGAGATATTTACTTTAGAGCTGCAGCATTGCTAGTGGTGGCAGTGCTAAGGCTTGCTTGAGTAACATCTCCAAAGATGAAGTTTGAAGAACTGTAAATGCCATACCTAACTGGTAATGTTCAATTATATCTGGTTCCACTATGAGATCTTCAAGGCAAGAAGTTGGTCAACAATCAGCTCCTGTAGTCAATGTCCTAGTTTCTATTAACCCAGCTTGGGATTGTAGTTTGTACTATAGAACTTTGCAATGGAATCAATCAGCTGACTTTCTTTGTTACTTGACTGTTAAAGTTAATATACTGTAGAAATTAGTAGTTACGCCAAAAAAATAGAATGTCAAAATTGCCCTTATACTCACCTAAAAACTTTTAAGTTCTCACCACACTTGTGCAGTCCACCAAGGAATGAACAAAGATCCTATAAAATGGGCCTACAAATCATGAGCGAATATTTAGCACCCTAGGTTTATAAAATGGTGTATAACAATCTCACATTCCTCACATTTTTCATTGCGAACGGATCTCCACTATCCAGTCGAAAGCAGGGAGCTATGAAGGTTAATGGAAATTGTCCAGCTCACCCTATGTGAGAAATATGCACTTAATTGTATAATAAGCAAAACTACGAGCATTGATTATGAAGAGGCCATCTCAAGTCATTCCGATTTATTTAACTTAATTAATCTCGCAGCTTAATGAGGAAAACTGGTGATGTTTATTCCTCAATTATAGTTGATTTTAACTCCTTAATTACATTTACAACCACAATCCTTCAAATATATATATCCCAAGAATTCAGTTTTAATTTATTTTCATGCTAGGGGGCAATGCAGTACCTCATCAGGTCCAGTACATCAAGTAATAAATTATAAACACAGCTTACAAATTTGTCTCTTTATATCTGAAAGCACTAGATGTAATCAAACATTTGCAAAACCCAACATCAACGGGCTGGACTTCAAACACATGTAAAGATGATTCACAAATTATTTTTAATAAAACAGGATCGCGGTCAATAGTATGTTGACAAATTATGCACTACAAAATTGAACAATGAAGATGAGCTTCTCTAAAATTTACTCAATTTAATCAATTTCATCCAACACAACCGCTAAATATGAATTGATTGCCATATGGTTTGATTTTCAATATAATAGTCTGGTTTCGGGACTTCCATCCCCTTTTGCAAATGTGTAGACTAAAAGATGAATCACATATCGCGCACATTAGCTCAGCACTTTTGACACCACACCTGCACCAACTGTTCTGCCTCCTTCTCTCAAGGCAAATCTCTGTCCTGTAAAATCAACAGCAAGCAGTAAGGCAAAGTTTCCACACTTACAGCATAAAATGTACAATTAATATTCAGCATATGGTAAGGATAATATTGCAGCAAATGGAAAATGTATGTATTGTGGTTGAGTAACATGCTGAAATGAGAGTCTTTTTTCATTAAATCAAGTCATACTGACCTGCTTCAAGTGGAACAGCTGAAATCAATTCAAACACAGCAGTGACGTTGTCTCCAGGCATAACCATTTTAACATTTTCAGGTAACTCTACTTTTCCAGTGATATCAGCAGTCCTCAAGTAAAACTGAGGTCTATAGTTAGAGAAGAAAGCAGTGTGTCGCCCACCCTCATCCTTTGTGAGTACATATATCTCTGCCTCAAATTTCTTGTATGTTTTAACAGAACCAGGCTTGGCAATAACCTTTTCAATATAAGGCAGCATTAGGAAAGTATTTTGAATTCAAAACTATACAGATTCTACTGAAAAAAATACAGATAATATACAGTTCTCTTGCATGTTGCTACAAGGTCTAAGGTCTAACCAAAAGAAAGATCTTGATCATTGCAACTAACCTGACCACGTTGAATGTCTTCACGTTTCAGTCCACGGAGAAGAAGACCAACATTATCACCTGCCTAAGAAAATGTAAAAATCCATATTAGCTTAATATATGTATGCTATGTAAATAGCCCTTGTAGATGAATCTAGCAGTCACTCACTTGCCCTTGATCCAAAATCTTCTTGAACATCTCAACTCCAGTTACTGTTGTTTTCAAAGGACCACCCTACAAAGGAAAACTCAGTTTTAGGAACCACCATTGTGATACAAGGAATTTACCAAAACCTCTGATATACAACAAAAAATGAGCGCCCATCTTAGAACTATTAATCATCACTAATCTCAAACAAAAAAAATAGAAGCAAAAGAAAGCAGCAAATGGCAGATTAGTAAAAAGGAATGACGACAATAAGAGGGCAGCCTTAAATCCAGGAAATGATTCAACGAACACACCTGCATTAGACCCAAGACCTCAACTTCATCACCCACTTTCACGATCCCTTGTTCAACACGGCCAGTGGCTACTGTTCCTCGACCCTTCAACAAAATTAAACATATTAAGCATCTGAAGTGACATTCTGGAAATCATTGTTATAATTACGATGTTCCTTTCCAATATACAAGAGGAAATCAATGCCGATTTTGTGAGCACTTAACAGCATTGAAGAATAGAAATATCGATATTCTATCATTAAAAAAAAAGAAAAAAAATGAGGCAACACTTTGTCTTTCAAAGAATCATATCCAGTTGAAAATTAGATAAACACCACAGTGTGCCGTGTCACTGCCAACAGTAGGGCACTATAATACATGATTAGAAATACCACAATACTAACAAACAAATATCTTAAGAATATTGTAACCAAGCTCTCTTTACTTCAATGCATTGGCATTCTTCAAATATGAAAAGCTAACAGAAAAGAAGTCCGTGTCCTTTTACCTGAATTGAGAACACATCTTCAATGGGCATTAGGAAAGGCTTGTCAAGCTGGCGAACAGGGTCGGGAATGTATTCATCTACAGCATCCATTAATTTTAGAATGGCCTTTTTTCCAATCTCTTCATTTGTACCCTGTAAAGCAGACAATGCTGAACCTCTAATGATGGGAATATCATCCCCGGGGAACTTGTAGAAGCTCAGAAGCTCTGCCAAATACGTAATTAACATGAATATATTTTACAGTTTAAACAAACACGAGGAGAACTAGAGAAAGTTATGCGGGTGTATTCTTTATATGAGTAGGGACTAGGGAGGGAAGGGAAAGTCTTAGTGAAACACCCTACCACGGAGCTCCATTTCAACAAGCTCTAACAACTCTGGATCATCAACAGCATCAACTTTATTTAAAAAGCACACAAGAGATGGCACACCAACCTATACAATGCATTGAAAGATAATGTGTACGTTAATATAGAAACAAGGAGGAAACTGTAGCCTTAAAAGTATGCTTTGTCTATTTACTAACCACTTTCATAAAATACCTACTTGACGAGCAAGGAGAATGTGCTCCTTGGTTTGAGGCATAGGTCCATCAGGTGCAGATACAACAAGTATACCACCATCCATTTGGGCAGCTCCTGTTATCATATTCTGCAAAACATACAATTTTTAAATATGTGCACAATTTAACAAGGACAAAATTGAAGAAACATAACTTATGCAATAGTGTAATGACTGAATAAGAATTATTTTGTGATTTACGCTAAAGAAAACCATCAGATGAACACGGTAGGTGCATTAAGGCATGCTGGAATGCTAAAGCCACTAATGTTCATAAGATTGCAGTAATCTGAGATGCACCTATGTTAGAGAAATATAAAAACATTAATATGGCCTTCAACTAATAGCTTAAATTTTTGGGTCGAATTGGTTCTTTACATAGTATCAAAGCCTTTCTGTGATCAAAGGATCACTAGTTCAATCTTCATCGCCACTCGTTTCATTAATAAATAATTAATATTGTAGAGTTTCTAAGCTCAGGTAGATGGGCACGTGTATTGTCCACCCTTCAAGCTCAATAGGCTCTTATGTAAGAGGACATATTAGAGAAATATAAACCCATTAATGTGCTCTTCAATTAATTGCTTAAGGTTTTGGGTTGAATTGACACTTTACAACCTAAGCCATGACAAATTTTTGCAAGATTTTTTCTTTTTTTTAATATAAAATGTTTTGGTTCGAAACAAATCCTCTTCCAACCTTAAATTTTCCATCCCATTTTGAAATTTGAATAGAAGATCAAGCTCTAATAGCACCAAAATATGTTAAATTCCACATTTAACAATAAGTAATATACGTTCAAAAAAGAGAATTATCTGTTCAAATTACTTAATTTTATTATATTAACAATCCTAGGTATAAGAGTTCAATCTTCTCTTTCACAATTTAGCCACCCAGCTGTAGCTAGGTAATTAGTACTTATGATAACAAATTTCTTTCTTGGAGAGAATAGACCAAATTTTTGAGCTTACTTTAACATAATCTGCATGTCCAGGGCAGTCTACATGTGCATAGTGTCTTTTCGTGGTCTCATACTCAACATGTGCCTGAAAATTGAAGAATTGAGCAAGTTTAAATCTAAAGGAAAGGAACTCTCGAAGTAGTGAGATAGAAAATAATGTTAATTCATTGCATGGCCAAAAAGGCCTGCCTGAATGAATAAGCATCGTAAGTCCCAACCGTTGCAATTGTGATTCCTCTCTTCTTCTCTTCAGGAGCCTTGTCAATTTCATCAAAGGCAATAGCCTTAGCTTTCCCTTCATCTGCTAGCACCTGATCAAACCTCATAATATAGACAACTTCATAAGCTAATTGAGTAAAAATACTAAATCCTCTTTTTGCTTCATCCACACCACAGGCCATATTATAGTTACTGGAGTAACATGGATTGAACAAATATTGAAATGTAGAGAGAGATGAAGAAGCTGAAACCTTGGTAATTGCTGCAGTGAGCGTAGTCTTCCCGTGATCAACATGTCCAATAGTTCCGACATTAACGTGAGGTTTTCTGTCAGCAAAAACAATAAGAGGAAAGGGAAAATGTAACAAATCCGAGAACTTATCTTCAAAGTTCAAAATAACTTCCAAAATTTGATTCTCTTGAAACAATATAGAGTAAATAAGGCTTCGAAGTGATTGAAGGAGAAAGACTCACGTTCTAGTGAAAGTGGCCATGGATCTCCACCATGGATTGGAAGAAGAGGTAGTGTCATTTGGAAAAGCGGGATTAGAGAGAGGGGAATTGGAGGGACGAGAGAAGGAAGAGTAGATTTGAGAGGAGTAGGGGAAGAGACGCTTGGAAGTAGAAGAAGAATTTCTGAGAGCAATGGTAGCCATTGAAGAGAAGAACGAAGCCCTAGGCTTTAGCAGGTTGGAGTTGAAGTTGCAGAGGCGAGGGTTTTAGCACACGACGCGACACAGGTGAGTGACTCACTAAAGGTTCGGGGTTTTAGAATGGGCTTCCGACACCAACCCGTAACATTCGTCCGGCCCAAATTTTGCAACCACCAGTTTATTTCGGAGGACGAAAAAGAATTTTATAAAGACAAATAATTTAAGTTCGAGTTATCATCAATTTTATTTAAATTAACAAAATTTAAAAAAAAAAAAAAGATTAAGGGCCGGAAGTCTGGTTATATATAAGGAATAGTGAAAATGTAATCCCATTATATATTCATTTAAAAATGGTTACTTTAAGTTCTTTGTGTAAATTATTATAAACATTTAAAAAGTTGTTTTACTTACAAAAGATAAATATGATTATTTGGAAAGAAAGATAAATTAAATTATGAAAAATTTATTTTGGCTTAATGGAAATAATTCTGGTTCGACGTAACCCTTGATGCAATAAGAAATGCAAAGATATGTCTTTCTTAAAATGCTTATGAATTAGTTAAATTAAAATCCCCTTATTGAAAATATAAATTTGTTACTAGAAGATTCATTAAGTTTGAGTACTTTGAGCCTACAGTTGTTGAAACTAAAATGACTCTAATCTTGCGTTCGGTAGAAGAGAAATTTTTTTTTTGTCCGAGAATCTAGATTTTCAAAAATATGATTTTTACATTCAGTTTACGATAATATCCGAAAATTTAGAATTTAGAAAAAATCAGTTTTCTGAGAATCCTGCCAAAAGCCACGTACCAAACGGCCCCTAAGTGAAACCTGTTCTGGATCGGTCACTCTAACTCGGTCCAATGGGTCAACCATAAGACATATTTAAGGGGTCATTTTTTTCCATTCGTAAAGTGATATTGTTAGAACCTCATAATAAAGAATCTCACTCTCTTCCACCAGCGTATCTCATATCATGTACATATCATGTACAGTGGGTGTATTTGCTCACGTATATAGTGAGGTTCATTGGACAAAACAATTATAGCTCTTGTGAATATTTTTCACCTATAAATACTTCTTCTTCTTCTTCATCCATTGAAGATGCATCATGAATCCACTAATTAACCTTACAAATATTATATACTACCCAAAATATTTATTTACTATGTTGTCTCATATTTTTATAAATCTTTTGGCATATATTAATATTGAACCTAGTTGATTAGCATAATATAGGTATTGTTATCTTTGATAATGGGTGAATCTAATAGACACACTACTAACTAAGGTTATATTAAATCTTTCAAAAGAAAACACCACATATCAACCTAACAAATCAAGTAATAAAAGTTACTTATAAAATTATATATTAAATAATATTTTTTTTATACCAACTTTAATTATCTATTTGAGGCGAGTAAGCTCTTTTGTGTATCTCACAATCTTTGACGAGACTAATTTCAAATGTGGTGCAGGTCAAGAATTAAGGTTTCATGCCCTTTCCAAGATAGTATTGGCGAGAATTGAATTGAGGTTCTTTCTTATCTACTCAACTCCCTTGCATAAATGAGCTGTCAGTATAAATATTAATTTATCAAATTTACGTACTTTTATTATTCAATTTATTATTTTTATTAGTTATTTTATAATTTCAAATAAAAGTAATATGGTATTTTTTTTAGAATTCCTTAACATATAAGAAAATATGAATCTTAAAATGTTGTTTAAAAAATAATGCCATAACATATTTTATGATAAAATAATGATAAGATGATATTTTTGAGATACTCAAAGATGGGTTCACAAATTCAGGGCTCCAATACCATTATGAACAGATGTAAATTACATAGCCGCATCAAACGGTGTAAATAAGTTAGGCTAACTTAGATTTTGATTTAAATAAATTAAGCTTGTGTAAAACATTTAGGCCTGGCCTGGCCTATCAGCTTTGTGTAACTCTAAATTACAAGTCTGGTCTAATCTATATTTAAAAAATAAAAGTCTTAACCTAGACATGTTAGCTTATTTAACTTTTAATTATTAAAAAATAACTAAAATAATATTATTTTATTATTTAAAATTATTAAAATAATATTATTATTTATTTTAAATAAAATAAATAATATGATACTGGTCGATATTTGAAGTTATTTACTCTATTGACATGTGTTCTGTTGCTGACGGTGTACTCTGACATTTTGACCACGTATTTTGCTACATTATGTAACGAATTATTCCTCCAATTGAAACGTGTCATGTCAGCAATCTTAATTTGCTACACAGTATAATGAATTATGACGCGTCGCATTTCGAAAATTTTTACTGTTCCAATGGTTTTTAAGATTTTGAGCGCTTTTTTTTGATATATTCGATGTACCAACATTAGTATTGGAAAAATTCAAGGATTCGATAGAAAATACCTAAATAGATATGAATTAAAATGTAAGAAAATTTTCTTCTTTTGAAAAAAAAAATATACCCACTTCGATAATTTTCGTTTTTAAGCGCAGTCTAGAACTCCAGTCTTTTAAATTTGACTTTAAAAAAACTTGCAGAATTGTCTACGAGGTTGGAATATATATTTTCTTTTCTAAAAGATGGTAATCAACATTTTTAAGCGGTGGAACTTGGAAGAGTGTAGGTGGTAAAACGGGAATCTTATGGCGTGAGAACCAAGGGGGGAAAAACTGTCACTTTTGACTCACTGCTCCATTATGTAATGACTCGCGACTTTTCTATTTTCTTTCTTTTTTCTTTGACGGCACATGACAATTTGAAATTATATTATCTAAGTTGCCTTGACCAACCCAATATTAGGAGCATATTAGAGCTACAGCTTATTCTAGATGACAATCCTTACTTTTGAATCTTTGCTGTATTTATAATTTGACTGAGTCACTTACTTATTCTAAAGGTAAAATTATGCAAAATAAACTCAACTGGAATTGCCATGTCTATATTGACAAAACAAGGAAAAAAATTAACTATAATTTTGATAAAATCACTTAAGAAGCACTCGAGACAAACGATCTACAATTAATAATTAAGATTCGTGTTAGAGAATAATATCAACTATTAAAAAGTCATCATCCAACACTTTAATATTTTGGGTTGAAATAATTTTTTACATGGTACGTATCAGAGCTTCAGTGATCACGAAGTCACAAGTTTAATCGTAACCATCTCCACTTTCATGTGAAATTAAATAAATATAAGATGTTTACCAAAAAAAATAAAATAAAAATAAATATAAGATAAAATCAAAAAAAATTTAGACTTGTACAATATTCACGCCTTAAAATTTTGAGTTAGAAATGATTCTTTCCAATTCGGGTTGGTATTTACGCACAACGATCTACAAGCAAAAATAAAATTCTAGCAATACGTTACAATATGGATCGGTGCAAATTAAAAGTTCTTTCTTTTTCTTTTTTCTTTCTTTTTTATGCTACCGTCATTTGCATTCTGGTCGGTGTAAATTAAAAGTTCTAAAACTGAGTTGTTTTCCACCAGAGAGACATTAATATTACCTTGCCATTCCTGCCTACGTGGGAGGTTTACATCATGTGATTCTTGAAGTTTCACCCGAGCTTTGTTTATTTCTCTAACTTCACTAGTCTTTTTGGAATCCTATTCCATATCTAGATCCTTTGAAAGCCCTCGAGTCTGCGTGATTTCCCCTTAATTAAGGTTTGGCCACCAAATTAATAGTTGTACATGTCTTTATTTATTTATTTTTCTTTTTAAGTACTTTATTTGTCTTTACATTGACACCCCAAATAAACACTATAAAACAAGCTAATGCACCTCTTGCAAGTTACACTTAACCCATAATCTTATGAGCTTAAACCTGTTTGAGAAACCATACACCCTCCATCAAACACAACCATCTAACAAAAAGCACTGCTATTCAAAGTTCAAACCAAACCCCTGCCTGCTGCATCCATGGGGAATAGAAACTCATCAAATTCAAAGGTACATGGCCATACAGCAAAGGTTGCTTCAACAGAACCACAATATGTTCCAAGGCAAGGGAAACCCTCAACAAAGGGACAAGTGGTGGGTTTCTCAATAGAAGAAGGGCATGGTACCAAAGGTGCTGCATTCAGAGGTGAAGAATACATAGGCAAAACAAAGGCACAGACCCAAGGCACTTTGAGGGGACAGCATGATATTGGGGTATATTCAGAGCAACAATGTAAGACCCCACTTGACAATGATGACACTTTCACCAATTACATTCGACATGCTAAGTATAAAATCAGAACTGCGTCCAACATTGGTGGGGAGCAGAGCAACCCTGTACCTGCACCAGCACCAGCACCGGATGGGGCTAATGGTACAAACAATAAGGAAAACCAAAGGGACCAGTTTTCAGATTTTATTCAGCTTGCCAAGAAGAAGTTGAGAACTACATCAAGAATTGAAGAGAATAGTTCCTTCAATAGAGGGTAGTAATGTTGGGGACTTGGTAAATTGTTGTGAGTCTAATCTTCGTTGTTGATTGGAGTGCATGAAAATAAGGCCTTACTATGGCATACTAGCTAGCGGATACTTTCCTATACTATTCTTTGCTATTTTATTTTATTTATTTGAAGCATGACATGTATGAAATGCTTAGTTTTGTATTTCATGGGTGTAAAAGATTGGGGTTATTTCATATTTGTATGATTTATACGTTAAGGTTTTAAACATTGATTTATATTCCCGCTTTGAAGAATTTTCACTTAATAGCTTAATTTTTAGACAAGATGAGAGCTTATGTAATCAAGGAGTCGTGAATTTGATTCTAACATCTCGCACTTTTACGAAGTAAAACAAAAAAAAGGGGTCTAGACAACACAAGGTAGAGCAAAAAAATATCGATACCCCTCAAGTTCTTACGTGAAAGAGTGTTAAAGAAATATAATATATAATTTATGAAAACTGTAATTATACATGTAATTGGTGTTTGTGTTCAATCAAAGTTGTCAATTGATTTAATCAAAAAAGTTTTTAACATTTGACGTAAACATTTAAAAGCGATTCTTATTTTTATTAAAAAAAAGTTACTTCACTCACAAACCCAAAATTAATAATAATAATAATAACAATAAGGGTTTAGGGTTTGTCATTTTAAAGGATAAGAGTTATATTTTTATTTTTTTTAGTACAAAGAGTTATTTTATTTTAAGTGAGAGAAAGACACAAACAATGAAAATTATGAAAGAGAAAATAGGTGATTTTTTTAAATTTAAATTTTAAATAAAAAATACTAGATTATATCTTTCTCTTACTTAAAATGGAACAATTCTTTGTACTTTAAAATGACAAATATTTTCTCCTAATAATAATAACAAAAAACAGAGCAATTCCTAAACTAATTTGGTTTGCATGCCCCTTTCAAGACTCTAGACTAGGAAAATTAATTCTCTGATCCCCTTCTCTCCTCTCTCTTTGTGGCGGTGCATTGGTCCGGAGCATTACATATTTGCTCCTAGACTAGGCACTTTATTTTTTTTCTTGAACAATCCGATTTTGTACAACTAGGAGGAACCCACACTCATGTTTGACAAACATGATTTTGGCAGAAAAAAAAATGTTTGGTTACTTTTAAGTAAAATCAAACTTGCTCCTAAAAATATGTTTGAATCAAAGTGGAAAAATGTAATTTTTTTGCATTGAGTTAAGAATTTTATATTAAATTATATTATTAATTCACTTTTGAGATGAAAGTTTTCAAAGGTAATTACTTAACTTCAAATTTACTTTTAACCGAAATCGGTTTTATAAAATTAAGATCACTCATCAAAATATATTTGCAAATGCTCACATAAGATATCACTGGAGATAAGAAATAACTTCTATGACTCAAAACGACATTTTTTTTAGTGCTATTTGTTTAAAAATTTTAGAGAAATAACAATGGAAAAGTTAAAAAAATTAGAAAAAATAGAAAATATGAAAAGTCAAAAAAAGGAAACAAAATGAAATTGTAATTCAAATTGTAATGTGACAATTTTAGTGAAACAACTTTTTTATATTACATTATGGATAATAGATACTTACATATATATATATATATATATATATATATATATATAGGAATTAAGATTCGGGTTGGTCGTTGGTATAATGGTATTCAAGCACATGCAACAATCTACGAGCAAAATTAAATTTCTAGCAATACCCTACAATATGGATTCTTTTTATTTTTTTGTTATGCGAGTTGATTTCCACCAGAAAGACAATAATATTACCTCATAGTGGAACCATGCTTCCAACGTGTCTTGCAAGTTCCAACTGGGCTTTGTTTATTACTCTAAAATTTCTAGAAGTTATTTTGGAATCGGATGCCATCTAGCTGCTCCTTTGAAAACCCATCATGTCTGTATTTTTTTCCTTTAAGCCGTCAAATTTGGCTACAACAGTTCCACATACAAAGGCAACAACGTAATTAATAATATTGTAGTACTTGTTAGTTTCGAGTCTAATACCATCACATCCTTGGACAATTTAGACATAGCACTCTCACTAGACGGGAACACCGATCAAAATATCACTCTTCATCAATTTTTTTACCTAAATGTCACGCGAATAGTGTTATTTTTCAATTTGTCACGGGGCAAGTTCGCTACCCGGTGTAGCAAACTCGATTTGCTGACGTATCACATTTTTAGTGGATAACAAGTATCAAATTTTTTTTTTTTTTTTTAAAAATGAAGTTCGCCTACATGGGTAGCGAACTTAGTTAAAAACAAGTTCGCTTCCCCGTGTAGCGAACCCGATGTCCACTAGAAACGTGACACGTCAGCAAACTGAGTTCGTTACACCAGGTAGCGAACTTGCCCTCGTGGCAGATTGAGAAATAATACTATTCGCGTGACATTTAAGTAAAAAAGTTGATAAACAGTGACATTTTCTTATATGGTCTTAGGAATTTTAAGCAGGTAACTTATGCAAATACAATTGGTTCCCACAAGGATCACAATTCAAAACGTGTCTATATTTCTCTCTCTTTTTTAAGTACTTTATTTGTCTTTACATTTACACCGTAGACAAACACTATAAAACAAGCTTATGCACTTCTTGCTAGTTACACTTAACCCATAATCTTCTGAACTTAAACCTTTTTAAGAACCATATATCCTCCATCAAAAACTACCATCTCACAAAAAAAGCACTGTTATCCAAACCAAACCCCTGCCTGCATATATCCATGGGGAATAGAAACTCATCAAATTCAAAGGTACATGGCCATGGGATCAAAGGTGCTTCATTCAGAGGTGAAGAATTTATGGGCAAAACCAAGGCAGAGACCCCAAGCACTTTGAGGGGACAACATGTTCATGGGGTGTACTCAGAGCAACAATATGAGACCCCACTTGATAATGATGATGCTTTCACCGATTACATTCGAAATGCTAAGTCTAAAATCAGAACCGTGTCTCGCAAGCAGAGTAACTCTGTACCTGCACCTGTACTAGATGGAGCTAATGGTACAAACAATAAGGAAAACCAAAGAGACCAGTTTTCAGATTTTATTCAGCTTGCTAAGAAGAAGATGAGAACTACATCAAGAATTGGGGAGAATAGTTCCTTTAACAGAGGGTAGTAATAATGTTGGTGATTTGGTGTTGGGAACGTGTTGAGTCTAATCTTTGTTGTTGGGTGGAGTGCATGAAAATAAGGCCCTCATGGGGCATGGAAGCAGATAATTTCTTCCATTTATTTTTTTATTTATTTTTTAATTTGAAGCATGATTTGAAATATTTAGTTAAGGGGAATAATTTGAATATTTTGGGTGTAAAAGATTATGATTATTTCATATTTGTAAGTATATCGAGGTTTTAACATTGATTTATATTTGAGTTTTATATTTTTCAAGAGAAATTTTCCTACACACTCTATGATTTTCAAGCTGATATGGGTTCCGCACATGACTTTTTCTAACATATATGCTCCACATGTTTTTTTGTCTCTATCGCATAAGAAGACTCATCTTATGTGATATGAGAAATATAAAACCCTGTATATTTCCGCTTAATTCGCCCTATTTCTTTCTTTCATTTGAATTTACCAAACTGTTATTACTCATATGCTTTTGGTGTTTGTATGGAATCGAAGATGTCAATTGATTTAATCAATAAAGTTTTTAACATTTGATGTAAAATTTTAAAACTGAATCTTATTTTTATTAAAAGAGAAAAATAAGAGTTATTTCACTCACTAACAACCCCTCCAAAATAAATCCTAAATCCTAAACTCTAAATAAAGCAGCATGCAGACTGATTTGGTATACATGCCCCTTTCAAGAGTCACGACTGTGCGCTATATTTTTCCTTTAACAATATCACTTTGTACAATCACCCAAACTGAGATGTTCAAAGCCTTTAAAGTTGTCTATTAAGTTTCACAGAATCACAGTACAATTCAAAGCTCCCGGTCTATGGAGATGTTTCGTTCAGCTTTATTTGTTTAGAAATAAGATCACATCAGCATCAATAATATATTTTTTCTAAATTAATTAAGATCGGTAGCCGATCAACCTAAATAAAAAATATGAAAAAATATATAAATAAAATAAAATAAAATAAAATAACAAGAAAGAAAAATACATAAAAAGAAAGAAATAAAAAGAACTATCTTTTCTATTTTTTCAACCCAAAATAAGTAAGCGGAAGCATACGCTAAGTTATATGGTCGTTGTTATCAGGAGTTGGCATATGTACTGTTGTAAAATGCCGTTTTTCCTATAAGACGTTTTGTACCTTTTGTGGACTATCGCTCTCCAGAATCCAGACTATCACTTGACCTTTTGAATTTCTTTATCAGAAGTTAGAATTATTCAACTAGCGAAAGCACTTTACTGAAATCTGTTTTCATTATTTAATTTTCTGAAAAAAAAAATTATAATTTTTTTTTTGTTTTTAAAATTAAATTTAGAAAACATATCTGAGTTAATTTTATTTTGTGTTTTGACTTTTAATTTTCAAAATTAATTTTTTTTGAAAAATACATATTTCATTAATTATTTTACAAAATAATTTTAAAATAAAAAAAATGAGCACACAATCAAACATATCCTTAATTTCTCACGCTCATACCCTAACTCCAAGAGCCTGTCCCATTTGTCCTGCTGTCGTTAGCATTGGATTATAGTCTTTAAACTCATTATTATTACGGATTAATTAGTATATATTCCTCAGAAAAAAGTGTTTGTATTTTTGTTCTTGTAAAATATAGTGTTAACTTTTAGCTATGTATCTGAATTGGCTACATGTCATTGATTATAGGGGTGGTATGTTATAGTGGGTTATCAAATCTCTGTTATCATTAAGCTTCCTTGACCCATCCCAATCGTAGGATCATATTAGAGCCACAGCATATTCCATAAGCTGGCAGGAATCCTTATTTTCATCCCTGACAGATTTAATTTTTGAGAAATGCTGACTACTTCAAAAAAAAAAAAAAAAAAAAAAAAAAATCCACGAAATCACTCATGAAAATTATTGGTCATTGATCACTCACAAATATAACATTCTTTGACATCTAATTCTAGAAGCTATTTTGGAATCGGATGCTATCTAATCTAGCTGCTCCTTTGAAAACCCATCATGTCTGTATTTTTTTTTTTCCTTAAGGACTAAGCCGTCAAATTTGGCTACAACAATTCCATATACAAAAGCAATAACATGATAATATTGTACTTGTTAGTTTCGAGTCTAATACCATCACAACTTTGGACAATTTACGCAAAACACTCTTGACTATACTATGTTAGGAATCTTAATTAAGAAGGTAACTTGTGCAAATACAATTGTTATTTCTTTTCTTCTTTCTTTTTTAAGTTCTCTGTCTTTACATTTACACCCTAGACAAACGCTATAAAACAACCTTATGCACCTCTTGAGAGTTACACATAACCCATAATCTTCTGAGCTTAAACCATTTTGAGAACCATATACCCTACATCAAACTCTACCATCTCACAAAAGGCACTGCTATCCAATTATCCAATTATCCAAACCAAACCCCTGCCTGCATCCATGGGGAATAGAAGCTCATCAAATTCAAAGGTACGTGGCTATGGGATCAAAGGTGCTTCATTCAGAGGTGAAGAATTTATGGGCAAACCCAAGGCAGAGACCCCAAGCATTTTGAGGGGACAACATGTTCATGGGGTGTACTCAGAGCAACAATATGAGACCCCACTTGATGATGATGATACTTTCACCGATTACATTCGAAGTGCTAAGTCTAAAATCAGAACCGTGTCCAACATTAATCGCAAGCAGAGTAACTCTGTACGTGCACCTGCACCTGTACTAGATGGAGCTAATGGTACAAAAAATAAGGCAAACCAAAGAGACCAGTTTTCAGATTTTATTCAGCTTGCTAAAAAGAAGTTGAGAACTACATCAAGAATTGGAAAGAATAGTTCCTTCAATAGAGGGTAGTAATGTTGGTAATTTGGTGTTGGTTACGTGTTGTGAGTCTAATCTTTGTTGTTGAGTGGAGTGCATGAAAATAAGGCCCTCCTGCGGCATGGAAGCAGATCATTTCTTCTATTTATTTTTTATTTTATTTTTTTAATTTGAAGCATGATTTGAAATATTTAGTTACGGCGAATAATTTAAATATTTTGGGTGTAAAAGATTATGATTATTCCATATTTGTAGGATATAAATGTTGAGGTTTTAACATTGATTTATATTTCCGCTTAATTCGCCCGATTTCTTTCTTTCATTTGAATTTACCAGACTGTTATTACACATTTGCTTTTGGTGTTTGCATGGAATCGAAGATCTCAATTGATTTAATCAACAAAGTTTTTAACATTTGATGTAAAATTTTAAAAATGAATCTTACTTTTACTGAAAGGAAAAAATAAGAGTTACTTCACTCAACAACAACCCCTTCAAAAGAAAGAAACATAAAAAACAAAACAAAACAGTAGGCGGACTAATTTGGTAAGACGCGCCCCTTTCAAGAGTCACGACTATGCGCTATATTTTTCCTTAAACAACATAACTTTGGAGTTTGGACAATCACCGAAACTGAGATGTTCAGACTTTACAACCCTGTAAAGGAGGGAGAAATTTTATAAATAATAGGAAAATATTATAGATAGGCAAATGGTTGAAGGACTATGTTAGGTAGGAAAAATGTAAAAAAAATTGTTTGGTTGGAAATAATTTAGACCGGAAAATTTGTTAACTTTTAGAAAGTCTATGTTTGGGTATAGATAAAATATAGATAGGAAAAAAAGTCACAATTACGTAAATAACCCTATTTCCTACAAAATTGCGAATCACGTGTGGGACCCTTCTTGATAGACGATAAAGTAGTAATTTTACTGATTATACATAAAGTGATTTTGATAGCTAATAAACAATACCATATATCACATGGGAAAAGGATAGCTAGCTATTGTATGAGATAGACATCAAAACACAACTTCCCAGCAATCACATTTACATAGCCAACTTCAGAAACCCCTCCCTCCCAAACATGATGATCTTAGAAACCCACATATCACTTGCCTATCAAACTCTTCAAAATCCCTAAACCAAACACCCTCTAAAGTTGTCTATTAAGTTTCACACAATCACATTATAATTCAAAGCTCCCGGTACATGCAGATGTTTCGTTCAGCTTTTTTTTTTTTAGAAATAAGATCAAAATTAATCAACATCGATAATATATATGGATTCATTTTTTCTGGAATAAATGCAGATAAGTTATCTGTATTGAATTCAGAATGACATTATTTTGAGACAGAAATCAAGGTATTTTTATAATTTTAATTTATTTCAGAGTTATAATAGTCTTATAATTATAATTTTTTAATATTTCAATACCAAAACGACATCGTTTTGGGAGTAAATGCAGATAACTTATCTGTAATAACTGCAGAAACATTTTCCTGATATATATCTATGTGTTCATTCTTTCTAAAGTTATTTTAGACTATTTTATTTAATGTTTCTCGAAATGATGTCATTATAAGACGAAAATCATAATATATTTGTAATTTTAATTTATTTCAGGATTATAATAGTCTTTATCATTCTAATTTTTTAACTTTTCAACCACAAAATGACATCGTTTCGGTTAACATTAGATAAAATTATCTAAAATAACATTAGATACTAATTTTTTAATTTTTCAATCACAAAATGACATTGTTTCGATTATCAAATAAAATTATCTAAAGTAATATTAGATACTTTTTTTCCTATATTCATCCCAAATTACTTTTGATCGGTAACTTATGAATTTCAAATGAATTCACATGAAAAAGTAATAATACTAGAAATTAAAAAAATATTAACAATTTCAAATAAAAAATAAAATAAAATAAAATTTAAGATATATAAAAAAAAATACATAAACGAAAAAGAATAAAAATAAAAATTAATGAAATAAAAACAAAATACTACCTCTCTTTTTTTTCAACCCAAGGAAGCATGCCCTAAGTTAAAAGGTCGTCACTCGTCAATCAGCTGTCCTTCGTGGCAGACGAAGGGAGTACCAAGCATGGACGGTCATTTCTTCTTAAATTTTAATTTTTTTATTATTATATGTATAAAATAATATTAATCTAATAATGATAAATTATTAATGTTAATAATTAATCCTTTCCTAAAAAATATTTATAATAATTAACTCATCCTATTATTTTTAATAATACTTATAATTTTGATATTTTATTTTTGTCCCCATTATAAAAAAAATTGGTCCTAATTTGCTGCTATGCTTAGCATTGGATTGTAGTCTTTAAACTCATTATTATTACGGGTTAGTATATATTCCTCAGAAAAAGTGTTTATACTTTTGTTCCTGTAAAATATAGCGTTAACTTTTAGGTATGCATCTGAATTGCCTACATATCAATTTCGGGGTGGTATGTTATAGTGGGTTATCAAATCTTCATTATCATTATGGACAAACTGATATTCAGTGGACATTTTTTTTTTTTTTTTTGAAAACGTGATTTGGTCTTTTTTAAAATAATATACCATCATATGATTAGACGATAGCTTATATGAATTTTACGCACTAAATGTCTTCCAGCATAACTGCCTCTCATTTGATGAAGTGAAGGCATCCACTTTTTAAATTAGCCTAGACATGCACGCAAACGCAAAGTCTAAACTCTAACGTACTTTAAACGTGACACTGATGAAAACTATAAATTATAAACTAGCTTTTGAGTTAAAATTACAAAAAAAATCCGCCTTTTCGTGGCCTCTCACATTTTTTATATAGACAAATTCGGATTCGGGTTGGTTTTTAGGCACAACAATTTAAGAGCCCAAAAAAAAAAAATCCAGGAATATTGAATTATGTGTTCTTTCTATTGTTTTTTTTGTTGTTGTGCGGGACACTAACATTTTGGGCTTAGTTTCAACCCTATGAGTTGTTTTCCACCAAAAGGCCGTTATTATTACCTTCGCATAACCAGCGGAACCACGTTAGGTAAGTGGGAAACTTGCATAAATCTGATTCTTGCGTTGCAACTGAGCTTTGTTTATTTCTCCAAGTCTTCATTGAATCCGATACCATCTATATATATATATATATATATATATATATATATATATATATATATATATATAGAAATAGAAGTATAATGTTGTAGGAAAGTTGTTAGGTTATGTTATAGAGATAAAGATTGTGGGACTCACACTTGTTTTGATTTTTTATTTTTGAAAACACATGTGAGCCCCACATTTCCTATCTCTATAACATAACCATAAAATTTTCCTACAACATTATTCTTCTTATTCCTATATATATATATGAGTAAATACCTTTTTTGGTCCTCAACAAATTTCACGATACTCGCTTTAGTCCCTAGCAAATAAAAAGGCTCATCGTGTCCCTAAGAAATTCAAAATTGGACCCATTTAGTTAAAATCGTGGTCCCTTGCAAATTTAATAAAGAACCATATTAGTCCCTAAAAGGACTAAAATAAGTCTATTTTAAATTTCTTAAGGACCACGATGATCCTTTTTATTTGCTAGGGACTAAAACGGGTATCGTGAAATTTGCTGAAGACCAAAAAGAATATTTATTCTATATATATATATATATATATATATATATATATATATGAGGTAGGATCCTTTGACACTGGTGTCAAATTTAAAGTTTGATACCTCATCTGAGAGCCATTGGATCAAAAAAGATTAACGACTCTGATTTGTAAGCATGTAACACCATTAATTTTTTTATCCAATGGCTTTCAAATGAGGTGTCAAACTTTAAATTTGACACTAGTGTCAAAGAATCCTACCTATAATCCAACGATCCATATTTGCGAAATAAAATAAACTTTGTTCCTTCTTTCTTTCTACTCAATTCCTATCACACCCTTTCTTTCTATTTTTTTTCACCACCTGTATCGCTGATGTCTTCCGCCAAATGAACGCACCGCAGTGTAGTTTTTTTTTGTTTTTTGGAACTTATCAGGTTTCTTCGCGGAACTAATCTAACGATCCTTATGAGGTTTTTCGATTTTTTTTGGTTGATTACATATATTCCCAATTTCAATTTCTTTCCACGCTTATGAACACAAAGTATATCTTTGAATCCAGTTTGTTTACTGCACTTCGAAGAATCTATATGCCCTTGCAATCCTGATAAGATCCAAAAAAAATAAAATCGTTGTACCTATTTGCCTACTCCCAAAAAAAAAAAATCGCTGAACCAATTTCAATTTATTAATTTTTTTCCATGCTTATGAACACAAAGTATATCTTTGAATCCGGTTTGTTTACTGCACTTCGAAGATACGTCGTCTTCGTCCTAGGGAGGAGAGAATAGGGTGGAGTCTAAGAGAGAGAAAGGGTGGAGTGAGTCAGGAAGAGAAAAGAGTAAAAAGGTTTTATTTATCTTTTGAGTATGAATAGTTAGATGAGATTGTAATCCAACGATGTTGAGAGGAGTAGGCAAAGGTAGGCAAAACGGGATGTGGGGCAAGAATAACATATCTCATATATATATATATATATATATATATATATGAGACAGGATATTGTGACACCCAAGTTATGTTACACACATGTGACACCCAGTCAATCTCACCGTTAGATAGCTTATGTTGATCCAACGGTTATATTTATTTCCATCTTTGTATGGTCATGATTTCCCAAATTTAAAGTGAAAGCATTAAATATGGGAAATCATAACCATACAAAGGTAGAAATAAATATAAAATATTAAATTTGAGAAATCATGACCATACAAAGATGAAAATAAATATAGCCGTTGGATCAACATAAGCGAGCTAACGGTGAGATTGACTGGGTGTCACATGAGTGTAACATAACTTGGGTGTCACAATATCCTATATATATATGTGGGGCAAGATATTTTTACACCGGTGTAAGAGTTAGAAATCTTACACTTAATCTTGACCATTGATCCACTTGTATGCAAGTCTCACAT